ATAAAATTAAAAAAAATAGCTAAGTTATGTTGTAGAAATCAGAAATACTTAAATTTATTAAGGAATATTTTCACCACAGTCTTAAAATACGAATTTTGGTATCTTGAGAGGAAAATGCCAGTTACCTTGAAAACTGACTTATGTTGAATACCTAGTAAATTAAGTATTAAAATGCTTCTTTTTATTAAGTCTCTTTCTTAGTTTGTGGAAGTCATTTGGTCCTCATATGAGGTAGTATTAATGTCTCAGATACATTTATCTTCTGAAATTGCCCACAATAATCATTTTGGTTTTTTACTTCATAAAGAGTTTTGGATAAGGAATATCCCCAGTGTTCTGATAGTGATAATTACATGTTAGTGATCTTTGCTGTCTTCCTGCCTTAAAAGTATAAACTCTTATTCTCCAAAGCTACAGTTATTATAAATAAATTGGTAGCAGATAGCGGTGACCTAGATTATAGGTAAATTTGTGAAGGATTTTCAAGTTACGTAGTTTTTAAAAAGTTTTCAGAAAGTTGTAGATAATCATGCTCTTCCAGGTGAGTGACATATTATAGTGAGTGGTGGTAACTAATGAAGTATTCTGTGCTTTTTCACTCTTCACAGCCAGTATCTTGAAAATTACCTCTGGATGAATTATTCTCCAGAGGTGTCCAGCAAGGCCTATTTAATGTCAATCTGCTGTATGGTGAATGAGAAATTCAGAGAAAATGTCCCTGCATGGGAGGTAACAGATTTAAATTACTTCAGAGCTTTCATACTGTGTTTAAGCCATTAAAAAGTAGAACTTTTGACTGATAATAAATAATGTTTTTAGAACAGAACTTTGCCCAAAAATAAAGTAAGGGTTGAGAAGAAAGTGGATATATGAAGAATACTATTCTTTTTTGATTTCAGTACTTTGTTCGAACTAATTTTACTATGAACCAAAAAATTATGAAAGTGAAATTATTTTTCTATTTCGTGCTTGAAACGAAGAATGGCATGAAGTATAAAGACTTTTCTCTTTTTTTTTTTTAAGATTTTTATTTATTTGAGAGAGAGAGAGAGAGAGCACAAGAGGGGGTAGGGTCAGAGGAAGAAGTAGACTCCCTGCCGAGCAAGGAGCCCGATGCGGGACTCGATCCCGGGACTCCGGGATCATGACCTGAGCCAAAGGCAGTCATTTAACCAGCTGAGCCACCCAGGCACCCTGAAGTATAAAGACCTTTCATCAGATTGAAATGAAGTTTATATTAAATAGCACAAGTAGATAGTGCTCAAATGAGATATTTTTCAGTGTCCTTTTTCACAACAGGGAGTATATATTTATAGTTTTCCATACATAGTGTTGCCAAAGTCAAGACAGATGTTTATATGGTAATTTCAGTTTTCTCCTTATCCCCAATTTAGGATCTGCTTTTCCCTTTTTGAAATTTCTAGTAGACTGACATTTTTTCTTTATGCTAGTTTAATAGAGGCTTGGTCAGTAGAGGTCCAAAATCTAGGTTCTCTTTGGCTGCCATAAAATGATCAGCTCATCAACTTTTTTAAATGAAGAAAAGGCATGGGTATTTGTCATCTTTTTGTGGCAATGGTCTGTAAACTGAGGAAGTATTAAACTCTTTAAGATAAAACCATGGGCACTTCTCTTGGATATTCACTAAGTAAGAGCCATCTTTGGGCAGATTAGAGCCCGAGTAAACTATGGGCCTTGTGTATTATTGAAAGATCCTGGGGATTTCTTGAAGTTGCTTCACGCTACTATAAGAAGGGAGAAGGAAGATTTTTTGAGCTAAAGAATGACCTGATCAGTTTGCATGTTATAAAGACCATTTTGGTGATTAGGACTTGAAGTAGAGAAATACAGATGAAGAGAAGAGGATACACAAAGATTTAGAAAGCAGAATTGACTGGATTTCATAACTGAATAATTAATAGTAGGGAAGGGTGTTATTTTCAATAACTTTCCAGGCTTGGGCAACTGAGTGTAATAGATGATACTGCCATTTACCAAGATAGGTAGTAATAGAGGGTTGAGTAGTACTATGGAGGGTACAAAATTGTTGAATTGATTTTTGGACTTACTGAGTTTAAATTGCCTTTTGAATACCTAGATGAAATTGTCTAGTAGACAGAGGAATCCTGGGATGTAGAGTTAATGAGAGTGATCGACTGAGGATGTATATTTAGAATCATTAGCATATGTTGTTGAAGTTCAAGGGAGGGGGAAAAGAATGAGGTTAGAACCCCAAAATACTGCTATGTACACAACAGAAGAGGGGCCCTCAGCACATTGAAAAGGAGTAGGGGCTTGGAAGAGTCTATTGGACTTGACAGCCGTAATAGCCTCAGGGTCGTCCTGGGGGTGGAAGCCTGCTGTAGGGAAGTAAATGAAAACAACTAGTATAGACCACACATTTGGAGCACTTCTGAAAGAAGAGAAAAGGGGAGGTAGGTCACAGGGAAGCTTGAATATATTACATTGTTTACTTTTTATATATTAACTTGGATGTTAAGAGTAAGGAGCTAATACAAAGCAGGAGCCACCGTCTTTGAGATTAGTTAGTGGGAAACTAATTTTTGCTAAAGATGTTTCTTTTGCTTAAGTTAGAAGAATTAAAACATTTCAGATCCTTAGAAACAAACACTAAGTTAAATGTGAGCATAATCCATAAAAGAAAAAAATAAAGGAAGTAAAACCATTATTTTAGGGATACCTGGCTGGCTCAGTCAGTAGCGCATGAAACTCTAGATCTCGGAGTCATGAGTTCAGGCCCCCATGTTCGGCATAGAGATTACTTAAAAAATATATATATATATTTTTTTTAAAAACACACAAAACATTATTTTATTAGGTAAAGGTTACTACACCTCTTTCATGATCTTGCCAGAAACCTGTATTTGACTTGCTACCATTAATTATAAGTAAGCAGATAATCTTGTTGGTAATTATTTGGTTTTGTTAATAGATTCCTGAAGAGTCTACTGATGTTTGTTTAGGGGAGAAAAAGTGGAGAGCAAGCCATTTCAAAATAAATTTTTATTCTTTCTCTTTTCAGACTTTTAAGAAGAAGCCAGACCACTTCCCATTTTTTTTTAAGTGTATCTTGAAAGCAGCATTAGCTGAAACCGATGGTGAATTTTCACTCCATGAACAGACGGTCTTACTGCTTTTTCTTGATCATTGCTTCAATAGTTTGGTAATTTTACTTTATCTTGGGGGAAAACTTTCACATTTTCTTGTTTTTTAAGTTGAACATAAGTGAAATTACCTCTATCGCCAACTCTTCATCCATGGTAATGGGGATGGAGGATAATGCCAGAAGCTTAATTTCAGTCACTTCTCAATAAAAACATTTTAGAAGATCCATTCACTTTTAAAATAGGCTTGGACTGGGTCTCCTTTTTCTATCTATACTCTTAAGAAAAATGAGAATCAGAGCTGAAATTCTCCAAAGGTAGAGCATCATCGAGTCTGGCCAGTATGAACTTTGAGTAATGAGATCTCTGCCACAGTTGCACACAGAAACTAGCTTTCTTACTTTTCAGGCATGCTTCATGCACAAGCTGCCAGGTCAGCAGGAGAGTTATGTTTTGAGTTGACTGGTTAGGGGCAGTTGTGGATGATCTTTGAAAATCTCTTGGGTTGTGTATGACACATTTTCATCCTTCATAGGAGTATCTTCAAAAGAATTAAATATTTACAGTAATTAATATTTCATTTGCACTTCTCTACTGTGGTTAAGTGAAGGTCTGTGCCTCTGAACTGATAGTGCATTAGACCCATGTAGTGCATGGGGTTCTTTCTTATCTTAAGACTGGATGTTGATAGATGGATGACTATTACTTGTTGTATTACTTGAGGTACTACCTCGTATGAATCGTGTAAAGGCATTAAAAAAAGATTCATGAAGCCCTGAGTGGATGCCACTATTACCTCCTTAACATTTATTAAACTACACAATGCAAATGTAAATATAAACATGATTCTTTATCAGAAGTTGAACAAAAAAAGGTTTATTTAGTATTAGTAGTTTGGGGCTAGGTTTGGTTAACTTAAAAGCTAGTTTATTATTGAAATACTTTATTTTTTTCAATATGCCATCAGTTCTCATTACTTGAGGTAGTTAGGTCTATGAAGTAGTTGCAAACACTGAATTGGCTAAAACTGAACCACTGCTCCTAGGGAAAATACAGGCTTAGGAGCCTACAAGCCTACAGTCACAACATTTTCATCAATCAGTCAATACATAATCTTGTTTTATGTGTTTCTGTTTAAAGACACCTTATGTAATAACATATTGTTGATTTATTAACCTTGAGTTCATGGCCAACAGCACTGTAACTGAAGTCTAAACAAACTTTATGTAACACACGTATTTTCTCCATAAGGTACATCACAGCCTTCTTGCACATAGGAACACTAACCAGCACTTCAAGTCCTTAATATGAAATATTAAAATACCATTAATTTGAAAGTATTGGTGGCATGCTTTCACCACAGGTAGTATATTCCTTATGTAAAGATTTAAGTTAAAATACTGGTGTGCTTATATATTTGTTTTCTTTGTGCCTTAAACAGGAAGTAGACTTGATACGGAGTCAAGTACAGCAGCTTATCTCCCTCCCAATGTGGATGGGCTTACAGCCTGTAAGTATCTAATTTCAGAAACTTAATGTATATATGTGTTATATAGGTGGATGTAGCTTTAATATGGATATAAAATGGTAACTAAAAATCCCCTTTCCTGCTTAGAAAATACATTTAGTTTACTATGCACTAACTTACCATACAAGTAGTTTTTTAATTTTAAAGTTTTTATGTATAAGCTAGTAGATCTTTCACCTAATATTATTATGAGATAAAATAAGATAATATCTATTGAGCTCATAAAGAAAGGGTTAATTTAGCAAAATGTGGTTATTATTTCATGTGTGTCTTTGGATGAGACTAAATACAGACTTGAGTTTTTTATTTCCTTAGATTAGAATGTACACAGTTATAGGAGAAGGTCTAGATCATGTTTAATATTAATGACTTCATTTTTTCTTTCATCAAATCCTTATTAGATCATATGTGTCATTCTATCAAAACCAAATTAATTGTGATCTTGGGGAATAAAGTTATAACTATCAAATTTCAGGATAAATAATAAGTTTACTGAAAATTCCATTTCCTGCATATGGGGTTTTTGCACATAGCCAGATATGCAGGCTTATTCATAGGTACCAGCTGATGGCGATAAAAACAGACTTATATAAATAATGCTAAGTTAAAACTGATAAGTGCCATTAGACAGAATATAGTCATGTGGACATTTCCTTGTTTACTTGTGACAGCTGTTTCTATGTTCAGTGTTTCAGACTCATTTTTCAAATTTCAGTGATTACACTAGTAAGTTTTAATGCTCTGATTTTTCAAACTTAAAGCCTTAATTTTAGAAATAAGAAAGAAATTTAATTGATTATTGAGCTTAAGACCTTGACAGGAAAAGGCAGTTTTTATTATTATTTTTTTCTTGTTATTATTAACAATTATTGGAATTGAACAGTTTTTCAAAATAGAGTTATTAGTTTCTCAGTTTTTAGGTTTTATCTTGTTGCTTTCAGGTTTTATCCTATTATATCCACACATTAGAAAACTAGCAAATAGTGGATCTAATTTTTATCCTTGTAAACTTGGAGGTAACTGGTGATTTAAAGCACATCATTCTTTCAGGCACGATTGGAATTAGAATTAAAGAAGACACCTAAGCTAAGAAAATTCTGGAACTTGATTAAAAAAAATGATGAAAAGATGGATCCAGAAACAAGAGAACAGTATGTTGCCAAAGCTTTGTTCCATGTTGGTTTGTTACACTGGTTGTGAGTCTTAGATGATATTGGCTGGTTTGTTGTTTCCTTTATATAAGGCTGAACCAAATAAATAAGAAGTGCTTTTACTCTCATAGGAATATTTTTCATAAAGATCTGAAGGGAAAACCACAGCATCAACATGTTTTTCTTCTTTCTCTTCTGTCTGCCCCAGTGATAAGTATATCACTGATCTTCTGTCTGTCTATTGACCATAGTTTGTCTGTTATGGATGGTTCTTGATTTTCTCCACAGTCTTCAGGCTGTCAATCCAACTTTTCTTTCTTTTTCTTACTCTCTTATTATTAACAATGATTTTTATACATTTCAGCCATTATTCACTCATTCATTCATTCATTCATTCATTCAACAAATAGTGAATGTTTATATTTTTGCCAGGTACTAGTCTAGGTATTGGGGATATAGCAGAGAACAAAATGGAAGTAATTCCTGCTCTATGGAGCTTACATTGTAGTTGGGGAAGACAGCAGCAAACAGATCAATTATGTATTATTTTAGATGGTGATACAGGCTAGGGAGAAGAATAAATGAAGTATAAGGATTAAAAAAGCAGGTGAGGGTTGTGGGTTCTTTTAATAGTAATATTTATAATCAGTTGGGTAAGTCTGGCAGTAAGTATTTATTTCACCAAACAAAGTGGTATTAGTAGGACACAGGGGAAGGATCTACATACTCCAAGAGCACTCTCTCTCTCTCTCTCTTTCTCTCTTTCAGGCTAACTGGTCTAACTGTGACCTTGCCTTATCTACGTGTGACTGTTGGAGCAGCACTCCTTGTTCTGTTTCCATCTTTTATTGTTCTTTTCCACTCACTCCTTTTTCTCTACTTATGTAAATATGCTGAAGACTCCCTTCCCTTGGACCTAGGATAACTTTCTAGATCTAGCTTATTTTTTCTTCCACTTAGGAAAGTACTCTGTACATGTGTAGCTAATAATGAAAGCCATGAGTATGGATGAGATGATTTAGTGAGATACATAAATCCTGAAAAGAGGGTTGAGGACAAAAGGAAGTGAAACCTGGGGTTATGCTGGTTGTTACTGAAAATGGGAAGAACTGTAAAAAGGTGCATGATGAATGTTTGTTTGTTGATTTATTGGTACACAGTGCATCTTAAATTAGTAAGGAGTAGAAGAAAATTGTTGGGGTTTTTTTAAGTATTTTTTTTAAGATTTTATTTATTTATTTTTGACAGAGAGATAGCACAAGTAGGCAGAGAGGCAGGCAGACGGAGAGGGAGAAGCAGGCTCCCCACTGAGCAGGGAACCTGACATGAGGCTCAATCCCAGGACTCTGGGATCATGACCTGAGCCAAAGACAGCCACTTAACTGAGCCACCCAGGCGCCCCTAGAAAATTGTTTTTAAACCAACATTTAATTTTTAGACATTGTAATATTCTATTACATGTGATACTTCAAACATATTAAGGTATAAAATTGCTTATCTTATTTTAACTACATACTTAAACGTTAAATTTTGAACCTTAAGGGCAGACTATAAATGAAATTTTAAAAACTCCTTTCTAGTTCTGACCTTTAAATCACAAGTGAAAACTTTCACAGTAAGAGAAAGGGGTGTTTCTTAGCTGGCTTATTACACCAGTAATAAAGAAGCAGCTGTGTGTTCAAATTATGGTCCCAATTTCAGAGAAAAGTGGAGCATTTGAACAGTATAAGAAAGGCTTGTTCGACATTTAATTTTACTTTTGAAATAATTATTTTTCAAAAATAATTTGGTCAATGTTATTTTCTGATTTTAGAGCCTATCAAGAAAGAAGATTTCTTTCACAACTCATACAGAAGTTTATCTCTGTGCTGAAATCAGTGCCTCTTTCTGGTAACTGTCTTCTCTTAGCTCATTTGTGAAGTTGTCATTTAGGTGCCTCTACAGTATTTACTAGTCTCCAGTGTAAAACCTGCTCTTAGAATAGTTTTAAATCATAATGACAACATATCTGTCCTCCCCTTTTCATGTATATTACCAGTCTGAGTATTGTGACTGCCTTAAAAATTCACATGTTTTAAAGGTACCTACATTGTTATTGAAATACTCATTTACTTAGCAAATATTTTTTGAGTTTGCTTGCTAGACTTAGGTCCTGAACGAGGTGCAGGGATATAGTGGTGAACAAGATAGTCACAGACCCACGTGGAATTTACAATATGGTGCTAGATAGTATTTTTAAACAACATCAAATACTGTTTGGAGGGAAAAGAATTATTTTTGAGATATGAGCGACAAGACAAAATGGGAAAGATTTCCCTCTAACATGGCCTCCACTTATTGATGAAACAAATATATGTTGTGTAGACTATATACTTAAAAATATACCATGATTATACTATATTTGTGTGTGTGTGTGTGTGTGTGTGTGTGTGTGTGTGAGAGATAATGCCTGTATACCAAGAGGGGCTAATTACATTATGCTGAGTTTGCAAGATCTTTATAAGCACTTAGTGAATGTACATAGAATATTTTTTACTTAATAAAGGTGTATATATGCTGTGTAAGATTGGCTAATAAAATTTTATTTTCTAAGTGTAGATGTATCATATTTATATTTTCGCATCAGAGATTGTAGCTTTTTTTAAACTAAAATACAACAGGATTACTTATAAATGCCGATCTTCCAAGTAAGATTTTACAACTGAAAATCATACCTATAATTCAGTGAGGAATAGATACTAATGCTGTCCATCAGCTATACCTGATTTGAGGCATAAGATTAGTCCCAGCATCAGTGTAAAGAAAAAAATTGTCATATGCTAATCATCTAAGTCACTTAATATTAGTATTTTTAAGACGAACCATGAGAGATGATGGACTCTGAAAAACAAACTGAGGGTTCTAGAGGGGAGGGGGGTGGGAGGATGGGTTAACCTGGTGGTGGGTATTGAGGAGGGCACATTCTGCATGGAGCACTGGGTGTTATGCGCAAACAATGAATCATGGAACACTTCATCTAAAACTAATGATGTAATGTATGGGGATTAACATAAGAATAAAAAAAAATATTAGTATTTTTAAGTCAGTTAAGTGGCTTAAATCTAGAAGGAAAACTTAGATTTCTCTTTTGGGGCACAAAAGGTAGTAATGAGTGCTTAGAAGTGCTAATGCCTATCATAATTAAGGTCATAAAAATGGACATCTCTATAGAATGTTAATTTTGGGGCATCAGCAAGGTTTGAAAATCAAGTAACAACAGCAACATGGCATCTGCATTAATTTTAACAATCTTCAAACCACCAGCTGTTACCATTGTTTATTTATTGCCAGAAAACAAAATTTCTTAGATTGACCTTGAGCTTTAATCAAAATTTGTTAACTCTAGCAGAGGAACCAATAAGATGATGAAAGTAGTGTGCTAGTTCAGAGAGGGTAAAGGTAGATGGATTATATAGTTAGAAAACAGAAAACTGGTTTTTTTAAAAAAATAAGGATCATAGTTTCATTTTACAGGGTTATGAAAAACAATATATCCTATCGGTTATTATAAAGGAAATCTGTATAGGTTGATCTGAGATGTCAGGACTGCTGTCAGAAGAAAGGAAAAAAACCACAATGTACGTAAGAAGCAAATGATAAGGATATCTTGGTGTCTGAAATTGGAATGACAAGGTTTCAGCTCTAAACAATATGCCCAGTAGGGCCAACTTACATAAAAATATGCAGCTTTATTCACCAGAGCTCAGAAGTTGAGTGGCAAGCATCATGTTCTAATTTTAATTTTAAATAGGTCATTGCCAGTAATTTTCTCAAACTATAAATAAAAATACAGAGTACAGAGTTGGCTCGCTTTTTAAATTTTGGAGAAAAATATTTTTCTTCTACAGTAACAAGAAAAAAAAGCAGAGGACTAGTTTGCATGGATTTAATTTATAAGTTGCTCCTTTAAATTCTTTAGTTTCAACAGCTATATGACTAGATTATGTCTCAGAAAACCTAGATTCCAGTTCTAACCAGCCATTATTTTGTTCTACACTTTTACCAGGTCATTTTCTCTGGTTTTCACTTTCTCACCTGGAAAAGAGCTAGAATAGGCATTCTCTGAGGTCTTTTCCAGCTGTGAAATGTTATGGTTATGTTATTTCATGGTCTGGATTTGGAGCATGTGTTAACTAGAAAAGTTCTACTTAATATTCCATATATTAGTCACAAAAGTATTCACATTTATTTCTTCAGATGAAGCCTTCTATTTTCCTGTATACCACAAATAAATTAAATATTATGTGGATTTATTTAAGCATTCATAGGTTAAATCTAAGCACTGGGGTTAATCGCTACTGGGAGTCCTTAGACTAAGCAGCAGTGGGGACCCTGGAATTATTTCCTTCTTAATTGACAGAATCTTGGCAGGATGGTTTAGCTGGTAAAATGGTAGACTATTACTTGGCATTAGAAAAAAAACAAAACTTGTACTCTAAAAGTTTGTCATGTTACAAGGTCGTAATTATTTAAAAACAAAAGTAAATGTTTTTAAAAATAGTACATTAATACTCATGAATAGCATAAAATAAGGTAGTGATTTAAAAATATTTCATTGCTCTGTCATTGACATTTTAATGTCAAAAAGTAATATATATATATATACAGTGGAAAAAAACCTCCTCTAACAGTTGTCCCTTTAATTAGTTTGGTGTGTACCTTTCCCACCCATTTTCTTTGCATTCTACAGGTATCTATGTCTGCATGTATACATACATACATGTGTTTATGTATATGAGAGAAGTTGTAGAAGTTCAGTGTGTGAAGATAAGAAGGAAAGTGGGTCAAGAACTGATTTAAACCACCTTTTTAGTTCTGTTTTGTTTTAGACTGCCTTTTTAGTTTTTGTATCACTCGGTTTTTTCAAATCTAATCATTTAGTACAGGTCATTTTTTATGACTAATTATTACAGACATTAGTAGATCTAAATCTAAGCACTTTAAAAATGTTTTTGCAAACCTGATACTTTAAATGTGTTTCTGACCCAAAATAGGTTTTTCATTTTCTTATATTTGTAGAGCTAAACATAAGGGTAAGACATGCCTTTTTTGAAATACAGGTGGGGTCCTTAACTCTGAATCATGATCCTGTCCTGATGAGTAAGAGACAGATGACAGTTGCAATAACTAAATAACTGCCAATTTTAAGATTTAGTACATTGAATAGCCTAAGTAAGAAGATTCTAACATGTTTTCTCTGTTACGTCTAGAACCAGTCACTATGGACAAAGTTCATTACTGTGAAAGATTCATTGAACTTATGATTGACCTAGAGGTAAGAAATGTGCAGTGACTTTTCTGTTACATCATCTTTAATGGGGATAAGGTTGAGTATATGACTATATGAGATATATGAAATATTACATTACTTCAAACTGGCCTTAGTTTTTTTTTTACCTGTTTCTAGGTGTAACAGAGAGAGGAAAGTCAAAAGCAGTTGGCCCTTGAGGTTTTCAAATAGCTGTCAGATGGCTATTGTTTGTAGAAAAAAATATTATATAGTGTAGTTATTAAACATGAGTCTAGCAATAGCATTTTATTTTCTATCATATTTTAATACCCCATCATAGAGGTTTTTGGTTTTGGTTTTGGCTTTTTTTTTTTTTCCCCCATCATAGAGTTGGGTTTTTTTGTTTTTGTTTTTTTTAGAGTTTTAATTGTGGCTGAAGTTATGGGTTTATGGCCATCTCTTTAATAATCTCACTTTTCTAAATGTGCCTAAATATTGTTGATGAAAAAAGATATAGCTGCTATTGTCAGTTTTTTAAATTAAGATTCTTAAAGAAGATTTCATAATATTAGGTGCAAGATTTTGACAAAGTTCAGATGCAGAGTTGGTGTAATTCAGATTGAATTCATTTCCTTTCCTTTCCCTCTTTACTGCAGGAAATTGAAAGAAAATCCTTTGTGTTCATTTCTTATCTGGAGAGAGAGGGTGGTTTCTTGACATAAGGATTAGGGTATTGGACTAGCAGCCATTCATGAGATCTTTATTCAGATTCTAGTTCTGCCAGTAACTAAAATATAACCTCTGAGGATCTTGATAACCTCCTCTGTAAAATGAGGATATTTGATTAGATTAGAGGTTTTCAAACTGATACCACTATCTCGACATTGTCTTACTGACTGTCACAAGGGGATGTGGGAAGAAGATAGGGAGAAAGAAGTCTCCACATGGAGATCCCCAGTCCCTTTTCTCTCAGAGTAGCACCACTTTTAAATCTATACACAATACATATTGGGATTTCATATAGGATTTTGTTTGAAAACTACTGGCCTATGTATGTGTGAAATTTCTTCAGTGCTGGATTTTATTTTTAAACATTGCCACTGACTTTACTTATGGCATTGACCAGACCCCTTGCTTTGTGCACCGTGACTTTTGGGAGACTAGAGGGTACCTTGTATGTGATTGACACTTCTGAGCAAATTAGTAGATTTTACCTCTAGCTGCAGAGATCATACAGACTTATTGCCATGTTTATTTTTTCTAGGCCCTACTCCCCACCAGGCGCTGGTTTAATACCATCCTGGATGACTCCCACCTTTTGGTTCACTGTTACCTTTCCAATCTTGTTCATAGGGAAGAGGATGGCCATCTTTTTTCCCAGGTGAGCATTGATAGATCTGAACTGTTACATACAGTTTTCATTTCTAAATTGATCTTTTTTTTTTTTGCCATGAAACTAATACCAGTGGATGATATAAAGGAAATTTTGCTAAATATTGAATAATATAAATTCCTAATTAGTCATTTTAAAGTAAAATCAAGTCTTAATATAGAAAATGAATGATTAAGAGCTTTTGTTAATCATATGTGATTTTATTATTGGACTAAATTATGATCTTGGCAATGTAGTCCCACATACTCATATATTTTATGTTAGTAACCACTGTGGAATACAATAGATGATAAGCATTAATTTCAAGAGAACTATGCCCTAATATCATGGCTGTCTTTCCATAAGATGGTGGTGACAGAGACAGTTGATAGCATGGAAGTGGTCATTTGCTGCCTTGGGTAGAAAGAAGTATTAGTGTTTCACATTTCTTGTTTCACATCTCCTTTTCAGGAGGAAAGTCTTCTAACAAACTTCTAACACTTGCCTTTCAATGAGATCATAATTGGAAATACAATTTTTATGTGTTTACATATTCTTTTAAGAATTCGCTTGGGGCGCCTGGGTGGCTCAGTCGTTAGGCGTCTGCCTTTGGCTCAGGTCATGATCCCAGGGTCCTGGGATCGAGCCCCGCATCGGGCTCCCTGCTCTGCGGGAGGCCTGCTTCTCCCTCTCCCACTCCCCCTGCTTGTGTTCCCTCTCTCGCTGTGTCTCTCTCTCTCAAATAAATAAATAAAATCTTTAAAAAAAAAAAAAAAAAAAAAAAAATTCGCTATCTTTTTTTTTTTTTTTAAATTTAGAGAGTGCAAGCTGGGGAAAGGGAGAGAAAGAATCTCAAGCAGACTCCCCACTGAGCGCAGAGCCCCACTTGGGGCTCAGTCTCACGACCCTGAGATCATGACTTGAGCCTAAACCAAGAGTCGGACGCTTAACCGACTGCGGCACCCAGGCGCCCCAAGAATTTTTTTATCTTGTATCTATATTTTTTCTCATTCTCTTATTAAATTTCTGTCTAGTGATTTGCCACATACATTACAACATATTAAAATTCTCATATCTGATCTTCCATAGATTAGAATTAAGAATAATAAAGATTTGGGGTGAATGCAGCCGGTAGATTCTTGATGCCATTGCTAGGAAGGGAAAGCAGGCCTTCATTAGCAACCGTAACTAGGCCAAACAAAGGGCTTGATGGCCATGGAGACTGATGAGAGGAATAAATATCTTAGCTTTCCTCACCTTGCTGCTTTTCCCTAATAGAAGCAGTACACAGAGGAGAGTATCTTTAATTATGAATTCCAGAACCTTCATTCAGAAAATTCTGTATTAAGTGGCATAAGTAAAGGACCTCATGGGTTCCCCCTACTGGTCTAGTTCTATAAATTTGCAGTGATGTAGTTTTTTTCCATTAGTGTTTGACTTCCTTAGATCCTTAATGTCTGTTCATTATTGGGATTACAGTTTAAGTTCCTCTCTGTAGAAGTAGACCATGTCTATGAAATAGACTTTAATAATTTATTCACTAGACTCATACTTTATTCTTACAAAAATAACACGTTTGGGGGCGCCTGGGTGGCTCAGTCGTTAAGCGTCTGCCTTCAGCTCAGGTCATGATCCCAGGGTCCTGGGATCGAGCCCCACATCGGGCTCCCTGCTCAGCGGGAAGCCTGCTTCTCCCTCTCCCACTCCCCCTGCTTGTGTTCCCTCTCTCGCTGTGTCTCTCTCTGTCAAATAAATAAAATATATATAAAAAATAAAAATAACACATTTGGATATGTTCTAAAGTGTTTGTTGCAGTGTTTACATTCCAGAGTTTTTCAGCACCTCTGAGAAGTTATATGGACTTGTTTACTCTTTATAGTAGTTTTTGTTCCTGGTTTCTTGTTCTTATGTTCACACAGTTTAGTAATGTAAATGTATCCTTTCAGCTTTTGGACATGCTAAAGTTCTATACTGGTTTTGAGATTAACGACCAGACTGGAAATGCTCTGACAGAGAATGAGATGACCACAATTCACTATGACAGAATTACTTCTCTACAGGTAACTGAAATGCAGTGCAGCCTATGCTTCTGCTCTATCAAGTTGGGTCACAAATAATTTAGTTTTGTGTAGTACAGATAGAGGAAAGTACTAATTTAATGATGTTTTCATATTGAACTTTTTAAATATTGCTAATTCTAATGAATCCATGGGGAAAAAATGGCTCTCTTCAGTCTTGAGAATCACAATACTGATATTTGACAGTCAAATTTTCTATCAGTTACTGGGCCAATTTGATGCATATACTTACCATTTTTATTTTATGAAAGACCATTCCAATATATTGACAAAGTATGTGTGAGCATTTTGTACATTTTAAAAGTAAACAACCATAATGGGACTGAAATTTGCCAGTACAGCTCAGCTATGTCAACAAAGTACCTTTGTTTTCTATTACTGATCTCATCCTGCTCTTACTCTTTCTGGTGGCAGAAAGAAGCTTTTATTTGTCACTTTGAAGAAATTCAGTTCTTTCTGTTTTAAAGAGTCTTTTTGGGTAAAGACTCAGTCAAACTTAAGTTCAAATTGTCTTTCATAATCAATTCCACTATCTCTCAAGGACACTCTGCTCTCCCTCTTCTTTCCCAGAATGGCATCTGGATATGTGGAGGCACTATGATAGCCTCATCATTTTGGAAGAGGAGTGATCTGCATAGAGTCCTGGCTCAAATGTCTTTTCCTGCTCTTCTCAGAGCAGTAGTGTGTTTGTCCTTCTGCTTCTGCCCTTGAAGTGACCACGGCTCGTGTGGCATGTGGTCTGCTCTCTTGGCACCAGGCAAGGCATGATGATGGTTCCTGAGGAGCTTGGCTATCTCCTTGCTGATGAGGTTCCAACCTTGCTCTTGGTGGTACTAGAGTTCTCCTGAGAGCTGACTCTCATTCATTTCCTAGCTTAAACAACTCACTGAGGCTTGGGTTGCAGGGTCGTTTTGCTATTAGCTGTAGTAATCTCATGGCATGCTCACCAATAACCTTGGCAACTTGTGGTGCCATCTACTATGAGGCACATGAAAATATCTGGATCTTCTCTGTGCCACGTGGACATTAAGGAAGACTACCTTTTACACTCTTACCCAGTCACTGTAATGCTGCTATTTTTGTTTTCTTACAGCTTACCGCATGGTTGGTTGGGGGTGTTACCCTGAAAGGTCCTTTCTTTCCAGAGTTCCAAAGTAAAAGCACAAACCACTGTGCTTTTGAATTCTCCCTCAAGCTATCTCTCCAGTGGGAATTTCCCTTGGAACTTTCTTTTAGTTTTGTTGCCCCAGTTCTTCATAATAAAGTGTTTTGTTTTATTTTTCTTTCCCTTCCTGTCAGCGAAGCTAAGGCTTTTGTGGCTGTTTTCATGTATCTTCAAAATACAGCATTAGAAATAAAAAACTGAACATTGACTCTGTTTTTGCAATCCTGCTGGAATAATTCTAGTTTTTTCCCATTGTATTGAATGCTTCTGGCTAAATAAGGCAGAGGTCACATATGAGAAGCATAAGAAAGAGAAGTGCATTAATATTTTTTAAATATTATTTTTATTATGTAGTATATAAATTGTAGTTGATTGTATTAATATGTAGGCATTAGTTACTGATTTTATTCTCTTTTCTAGAGAGCTGCTTTTGCACATTTCCCTGAACTCTATGATTTTGCCCTCTCAAATGTGGCAGAAGTAGATACTCGGGAATCTTTGGTCAAGCTTTTTGGACCTCTCAGGTAAGTCAACATGAAAGGAAAACTGAATTTTAATTTTCTTTTTGCTTTTAATCATTTTGCACTACTAAGTAATGTAACTTATTGCACCACTCTGTTGACAGCTAAAACTAGTGCTACTCTCTAGCAGTTGGTATCTTTAAGTCACTTAGATATAATTATTGATCTTCTGTTTTGGGGGGCAAAATTTATATTTTTCATAACTTAAACATTTTTCCTAAATCATACATTTTTCTTAGAGTAGAACATAAAACTGGTATCCCATCTATCATAATATAAAACAGAAACCAGTAAATGTTCATATGTGATATTAGAATATGAGAAAAATTTTTGTGTGTTCAGAATTTATGAAATTAGTAATATTCTTTGACACTTAGCTAATATACTTTTTTGAAAATGGTAGTAAGACATTTATAGTACATGGTAGGCACTCTACTAAGTGTGTAAATAATCCTCAAGACATTCATTTGTGTGAGGATAGGTACCATTTTAGAAATAAGGTCACTGAGACACAGAATTGTTAAGTCATTTGCCTAGATCAAATAGCAGGTAAGTGGCAGAGCTAGGATTCCAATTTCAAACCTAGGCAGTCTAACTTTTAACTGTGTTGTTATCTCCCCATTGTCCTTAATTCTTGGGAGAAATTATATTTAGTTCATTGACTATTTAAAATGAAACAAATTTGGTTTCAAATTGAAAGTTGGTTTGGTTTTTGATTTTTGTAAGAAGATTTAATAATGACTCTTACAATAACACAAAAATCTGTTTCATTCTCTTAATGAACTGCATAAAGTTCCATTGGACAGGTCAACTATACTATTTTTTAATCACTCTCCTATTGACACATCTTTACCTTCTAAATTTTTGGCCATTACTAACAATTCAGTAATGAACAACATTGTTTCTATATCTATATAAAAATTCTTGGTACTGATTCCCAGAAGCAGTATAATTGACTCGAAGGAATATCGATTATACCAACAGCATATGAGGATTTATTTCTTTCTCTACCAAGTAGGTACACTAGCCTTTCATTTTTGCCAATCCAAGAATAAAAGAACCCGCATTGTTTAACTTTGCATTCTGTGATTATCTTGGGGGAATTAAGCATCTTTCTATTTTTCCTGGCCTTTTGCATTTCCTCTGTAACTTTCTTGTTATCTTTTGCTATTTTGTATTTCATCGCTTGTACTGATTTTTTTTAAAGAAACCTTTATGTATTTTGCATGCTCTGATATTTTGTCTGGTTTGTGTTGCAGTTATTTTCTCTCAGTTTCTCACTTTTAAACTTTGTTTTGGTGTATTTTGTTATTACGAATGTTTTAAATTTTTAATCCTGTCAATCATTTTTATAACAGTAACAAATGGTTTTTGTAGAAGGCCTTCATCACCATAAGATTATAAAATATATTTTAAAACACTTCCATAGATTTTTTTTTTTTTTTTTACGTTCAGTTTAGCTGCATAATCCATATGGGGAATTTATTTTTGCCCATAATGCTCCTTTATACTCTTGTAAATTATTGAGGATGCTAAAAAACTTTTTTAATGTGGATTATAGCCATTATGTTCACTATATTAAAAATTAAAACTGGAAAATTTTTAAATACTTTATTAAAATCAATTAAAAGCCTATTATATGTTAGCATTGTAGTGTTAATGAAAAATATATTGTCCAAAATTAAAAAAATATATAGTGGGGAGTGGCATTGTTTTGCATTTTTGCAAATTTTTTTTTTAATTTAAATTTTAGTTAACATGCAGTGTACTATTGGTCTCTAAAGTAGAATTCAGTGATTCATTACCTACATACAACACCCAGTGCTCATCACAGCAAGTGCCCTCTCTAATGCGCATCACCCATTTAGCCCATCCCCCACCCATCTCCTTCCATCAACCCTCAGTTTGTTCTCCATCGTTAAGAGTCTTCTTATGGTTTGCTTCCCTCTCTCATTTTTTTTCCCCATTCCCATATGTTCATCTGTTTTCTTTCTTAAATTCCACATATGAATGAAATCATATGGTATTTGTCTTTCTCTGTTTTACTTAGCATAATATACTCTAGCTCTATCCACACTGTTGCGAATGGCGAGATTTCATTCTTTCTGATGGCTGAGTAATATTCCGTTGTATATATATACCACCTCTTCTTTATTCATCAGTCAGTGGATATTTGGGCTCTCTCCATAGTTTGGCTGTTGTTGATAATGATGCAATAAACATTGGGGTGCATGTACCCCTCCAACCTGTATCTTTGTATCCTTTGTGTAAATACCTAGTAGTGCAATTGCTGGATCGTAGGGTAGTTCTGTTTTTAACTTTTTGAGGAACCTCCAAACTGTCCTCCAGAAGGGCTGCATCAGTTTGCATTCCCACCAGCAGTGCAAGAGGGTTCCCCTTTCTCTGCATCCTCACTAATACCTGTTGTTTCTTGTGTTGTTAATTTTAACCTTTCTGACAGGTGTGAGGTGGTATCTCATGGTTTTGATTTTTATTTCCCTGATGATGAGTGATACTGAGCATTTTTTCATGCATCTATTAGCCATCTGGATGTCTTCTTTGGAAAAGTGTCTTCTTCCCATTTCTCAACTGGATTATTTGTTTTTTTGGGTGTTGAGTTTAATAGATTCTTTATAGATTTTAGATACTAACCCTTTATCAGATGTCATTTACAAATATCTTCTCTCATTCTGTAGGCTGCCTTTCAGTTTTGTTGATTGTTTCCTTCGCTGTACTGCAAAAGCTTTTTATCTTGGATCAAGTCCCAGTAGTTCATAATTGCTTTTGTTTCCCTTGCCTCCAACAGCGTGAAGTAGGAAGTTGCTACAACCAATAGGTTTCTGCCTGTGCTCTTCCCTAGGACTTTGATGTTTTCCTGTCCCACATTTAGGTCTTTCACCATTTTCAATTTATTTTTGTGTGTGGTGTAAGAAAGTGGTCCAGTTTCATTCTTCTGCATGTTGCTGTCCAGTTTTCCCAACACCATTTGTTGAAGAGACCCTCTTTTTTCCATTGGATATTCTTCCCTGCTTTGTTGAAGATTAGCTCACCATATAGGTGTGGGTCCATTTCTGGGTTTTCTGTTCTGTTCCATTGATCTGTGTGTTTGTTTTGTGCCAGTACCATACTGTTTTGATGACTACAGTTTTGTAATATAGCTTGAAATCTGGAATCGTGATGCCTCCAGTTGTTTTTCTTTTTCAGGATTGCTTTGGCTATTTGGGATCTTTTGTGGTTCCATACAGATTTTAGGATTGTTTGTTCTAGGTCTGTGAAAAATGCTGGTGGTATTTTGATAGGGTTTGTATTAGATGTGTGGATTGCTTTGGGTAATATAGACATTTTAACAATGTTTGTTCTTCTAACCCATGAGCATGGAATGCTTTTCCCTTTCTTTGTGTCCTCTTCAATTTCTTTCATAAGTGTTTTATAGTTTTCAGAGTACAGATCTTTTACCTCTTTCTTTAGTTAGGTTTATCTCTAGATATCTTATTGTTTCCAGTGCAATTACAAATGGGATCAATTCCTTGATTTCTTTTTCTGCTGCTTCATTCTTAGTGAATAGAAATGCAACAAGTTTCTGCACATTGATTTTATATCCTGTGACTTTGCTGAATTCATGTATTAGTTCTAGCAATTTTTTGGTGGCGTCTTTTGAGTTTTCTACATAGAATATGGCATCTGCAAATAGTGAAAGTTTGACTTCCTCCTTGCTGATCTGGATGCCTTTTATTTCTTTTTGTTATCTGATTGCTGAGGCTGAAACTTCCAGGACTGTGTTAAATAGTAGTGGTAAGAGTGGACATCCTTGTCTTATTCCTGACTGTAGGGGAAAGGCTCCCAGTTTTTCCCTATTGAGGATGATATTAGCTGTGGGTCTTTTGTATGTGGCCTTTATGATGTTGAGATATGTTCCAACTATCCCTACTTTGTTGAGGGTTTTTATCAAGAATGGATGCTTATTTTGTCAAATGCTTTTCCTGCATCTATTGACAGGATCATATGGTTCTTATCCTTTCATTAATGTGGTGTATCACATTGATTGATTTGCAAATACTGAACCACCCTTGCAGCCCAGGAATAAATGCCACTTGATTGGGTGAATTATTCTTTTAATGTACTATTGAATTCGATTTGCTAGTATTTTATTGAGAATTTTCGCATCCATGTTCATCAGGGATATTGGCCTGTAATTCTCCTTTCTAGTGGGGTCTTTGGTTTTAGAATCAAGGTAATGCTGGATTTGTAGAATGAGTTTGGAAGCTTTCCTTCCATTTCTGTTTTTTGGAACAGTTTGATAAGAATAGGTATTGACTCTTCTTTAAATGTCTGGTGGAATTCCCATGGGAAGCTATCTGGCCCACGACTTTGTTTGTTGGGAGATACTTGATTACTGATTCAATTTTTTGGCTGGTTATGGGTCTGTTCAAATTTTCTATTTGTTCCTGTTTCAGTTTTGATAGTTTGTAAGTTTCTAGGAGTGTCCATTTCTTCTAGATTGCCCAGTTTGTTAGCATATAATTTTTCATAGTATTCTCTTATAATTGTATTTCTAGGGTATTGGTTGTGATCTCTCTTCTTTCATTTGTGATTTTATCTGTTTGGGTCCTTCCTCTTTTCTTCTTGATAAATCTGGCTAGGGATTTATCAGTTTTATTAATTCTGTCAACCCTCTCTTAGTTTTGTTAATCTGTTCTACTGGGTTTTTTTGTTTCTATATCATTTATTTCTGCTCTAATCTTTATTATTTCCCTTCTTCTGCTGGCTTTAGGCTTTATTTGCTGTTCCTTTTCTATTTCCTTTGGTTAGGTTAAGTTGTGTATTTGAGACTTTTGCTTCCTGAGGAAGGCCTATATTGCTATATACTTCCCTCTTAGGACTGCCTTTGCTGCATCCCAAAGGTTTTGGACTGTTGTGTTTTCATTTTCATTTGCTTCCGTGTGTTTTTTTCATTCTTCTTTAATTTCCTGGTTAACCCACTCATTTTTAGTAGGATGTTCTTTAACCTCCATGTATTTGAGGTCTTTCCAAATTTTTTCTTATGGTTGACTTCCAAGTTTCATAGTGTTGTGGTTTGAAACTATGCTTGATATAATCACGATCTTTTTGTACTTTTTGAGTGACCCAGTATGTGATCTGTTCTAGAGAATGTTCCATGTACACTCAAAAAGAATGTGTATACTGCTGCTTTAGGATGAAATGTTCTGAATGTATCTGTTAAGTCCATCCAGTCCATTGTGTCATTCAAAGCCATTGTTTCCTTGTTGATTTTCTGTAGATGATCTGTCCATTGCTGTAAGTGGGGTGTTAAAATCCCCTACTATTATTGTATTATTATCAATGATTTTCTTTATGTTTATTATTTTTTTATTTCATTTCTTAAAATTTAAATTTAATTAACATATAATGTATTATTGGTTTCAGAGATAGAGGTCAGTGATACATCAGTCTTATATAATACCCACTGCTCATTACATCATGTGCCCTACTTAATGTCCATCACCCAGTTACCCCATCCCCCCACCCCCCTCGCCTCCAGCAACCCTCAGTTTTTTTCCTATGATTAAGAGTCACTTATGGTTTGTCTCCCTCTCTGATTTCACCTTGTTTTATTTTTCCCTCTCTTCCCCTATGATCCTCTGTTTGTTTCTTAAATTCCATATGAGTGAGATCATATGATAATTGTCTTTCTCTGACTGACTTATTTGCTTAGCATAATACCCTCTAATTCCATCCACGTCATTGCAAATGGCAAGATTTCATTTTTTAGTTGGCTGAGTAACATTCCATTGTGTGTATATGTATATATTATATATATATATACCACATCTTCTTTATCCATTCATCTGTCTATGGGCATCTGGGCTCTTTCCATAGTTTGGCTATTGTAGACATTGCTGCTATGGACACTGGGGTCAGATCACTACATTTGTATCTTTGGGGTAAATCCCTAGGAGTGCAGTTGCTGGGTTGTAGGGTAGCTCTATTTTCAACTTTTTGAGGAAACTCTTTATGTTTATTATTAATTGATTTATATATTTGCATGCTCCCAAGTTGGGGGCATAAATATTTACAATTGTTAGATCTTCTTGATGGATATACCCCTTAATTATGATATAATGCCCTTCTTCCTCTCTTGTTACAGACTTTGTTTTAAAATCTAGTTTGTCTGATTTAAGTATGGCTACTCCAGCTTTCTTTTGATGTCTGTTAGCATGATAGATGGTTCTCCATACCTTACTTTCAATCTGCAGATGTCTTCAGGTCTAAAATGAGTCTCTTGTAGGCAGCATATAGATGACTCGTTGTTGTTGTTTTTTTTTAAAATCCATTCTGATACCTTATGTCTTTTGATTGGAGCATTTAGTCCATTTACATTCAGAGTGATTGTTAAGAGATGTGAATCTAGTGCCATTGTGTTACCTGTAGAGTTGGTGTTTCTGGTGATGTTCTCTGGTCCTTTATAGTGTTTGTTGCTTTTGGTCTTTTTTTCTCCACTCAGAGGCCCCTTAAAATTTCTCACAGGGCTGGTTTAGTGGTCATGAATTCCTTTAGTTTTTGTTTGCCCGGGAAACTCTTTTTATCTCTCCGTCTATTCTGAATGACAGCCTTGCTGTATAAAGAATTCTTGGCTGCATTTTTTCCCATTCAGCACATTGAATACATCCTGCCACTTCTTTCTGGCTCACCAAGTTTCTGTGGACAGCTCTGCTGTGAATCTGATCTGTCTAACCTTGTAGTTTAAGGGCTTTTTTTTTTTTTCCCTTGCTGCTTTCAGGATTCTCTCCTTGTCTATTATTTTGTGAATTTGACTATGCTATGCCTTGGCAATAGTTGACATTCGTTGAATTTAATGGGATTTCTCTGTGCTTCTTGGATTTTGGTGTCTGTGTCCTTTCCCAGATTGGGGAAGTTTTCAGCTATAATTTGTTCAAATAAACCTCTGTCCCTTTTTCTCTCTCTTCATCTTTTGAGACTCCTTCCAAAAAGTGGTCGCTTTCCTACTTGTAGACTAGTTTTTGTTCTCTCAGACCTCCAATTGATTTCTTGGGCGTTCAGAATGATTTGATAACTAATCTAGCTGTGTTCAAGGGATGAGACAAGCTTAGGGTCCTCCTACTCCTCCACCGTCTTAACTCCTCCCCTGCAAATCTCTTTAATGTCTGGCTTAATCAGAGACAGTGGATTTGTAGATCTGCTTCTGTATTTCATTTATTGTGAGATACTGTTTTGGTTGAAGTAAATGAAGAAATTCCCTTATGCAAAAGGGAAATGTATTTTAATAGCCTTTTCAAATAATTGTGAATATTTTTCTTTGATACCATATCACAACTTGACAAGTGGAAGTTTCTTAAATGTTAGTTTCAGTGTGGTATCTGAAACCATATTAAGGAAGTCTGTGCAACTAAAGTGAATTAATTTTAGAAATGGAGACATTTGCCTTGCTTATGGATGAGAGGACTCAATTAAGGTATGAATTCTGCCCAAATTGATCTGTAGGTATAATTCAGAATCCCAGCAGGATATTTTCTAAAAATTGACAAGCTTATTCAAAAATTAATATGGAAGGACAAAGAGACTAGCCAAAACCATTTTGAAAAAGAACAAAGTTGAAGTTTTCCCACTACCTAATTTCAAGACTGTCTATATAGCTACAGTAATCAAGACATTGTGGTATTGAATAAAGGACATATAGACATATAGATCACTGGAACAGAGTAGAGTTCAGAAACAGACTAGACATATATCTTAGTTGATTTCTGACTAAGATGCCAAAGCAACTCACTGAAGAAAGGATAATCTTTTCAACAACTGTGGTGAAACAGTTGGACGTCTATATGCAAAGTATGAAACTTAACACATACTTCACATCATGTACACAAACTAACTCGAAATGAATTGCAGACATACTTATCAGAACCAGAACTAATAGGACATATAGGAGAAAATTTTTGTGATTATGGTTTGTGCAAAGATTTCCATAGATTTCCAAAGCACAATCCATAAAGAAAAAAAATTGATAAATTGGACTTTATCAAAATTTAAAACTTTTACTATTTGAAAGACATTGTTAACAGAAAATACAACCCCAGACTGGGAGAAAATATTGACTGAACACATATCTGGTGATGGACTGGTATCCGGAAGTCTCAGAACTCAATAATAAGAAAACAATTTAAAAATAGCTGAAGAGGGGCTCCTGGGTGGCTCAGTTGGTTGAGCGGCTGCCTTTGGCTCAGGTCATGATCCCAGGGTCCTGGGATCGAGCCCCACATAGGGCTCCCTGCTCTGCGGGAAGCCTACTTCTCCCTCTCCCACTCCCCCTGCTTGTGTTCCCTCTCTCACTGTCTCTCTCTCTCTCTTTCTCTCATCAATTAAATAAATAAATAAATAAAATCTTAAAAAAAAAAAATAGCTAAAGATTTGAACAGATACTTCACCAAAGATGATACATTTCATTCAGTAAGCCACAGAAGGATGTTTAGCATCATTAGTTATTAGAGAAATGCAAGTTTAAATCCTAATGAGATACCATTACATGTCTATTAGAATTGTTAAAAAACACACTCTGTATTGACTTTTGACAAGGATGTGGAACAGCTGGAATTCTCGCACATTGCTGGTGGGAATTCAAAATGGTAGTGCCTCTTCGGAAAAATGTGACAGTTTCTTGTAGTTAAACATGCATTTACTATACAATCTAGTGTTCTCATAGATATACCCAAATGAAAATTTATGTTCACACAAAAATCTGTGGGGAAATTTATATAGTGGCTTTATAGTTGTCCAAAACAGATACCCTTCAACTGGTGAGTGAATAAACACACTGTGCTACATCTGTGTGATGGAATACTGCTCAGCAGTAAAAAGGAACCAATTACAAATGTACACAGTGTGGGTGAATTTTAGTTGCATTATGCTAAATGAAAGTAACCAGTATCAAAAGGCTATATAATGTATGATTCCATCTATATGACCTTCTGGGACAAGCAAAATTGTAGAGATCAAAAACAGGTTAGTGGTTACCAGGGACTGGGATAGAGTGTGTGAGGGCATTTGGCGAGGGTGATGAAACTATATTTAAGTAATGGAAAGCTGTTCAGCTCATGGTGGTGAATGCACGTTTTCCAGAATTCCAGTTTTTCACTTGGAAATTCCAATTTTATCTTTGGTAACAAATACTGTCAGTTGTTTTCCTTAAAGTTATTGGTTTATTTTGTTCAGATTTGAAAATTTTTTGCCAGTATTCAAGTTTGAATAACCATAGTTTGTCATTAGTTCTTTGAAGTAAAAATTGTGTGGAAAATGTGTACTTCCTATCTTGTCACACAGAATTTTTAAAAAACAGGTATTCAAGAGTCCAAATTTAATTTTATTAATAATTTTAAGTAGCAATTTAATTTCAATTAATAAATTAATTTTGCTACTTCATTAAGGGCATTCTTAAATGAAAGTGGCTTTTTTTCCCCCTCTGCATGTGGCAGTAAGGAATACTATGGCTCCTTAGAGCCCTGGTTGGTACCACCGCCTTCACCCATGCCAGCAGTTTTACCCACCATTGCTTTTCACTGTGTATGTAAAGATAGTGGAAAAAACAAATAATGTCTTAGTATTAATAGAAAAAAATATCGTTCTTGCAGACTTACTAGAAATAGGTTTCAGGGACCCACAGGGGTTTTGCAGAAGACCTTTGAGAACCTGCATTAAGGGGGTTAACTTTCATTGCTGATTTTTTTTTATTTGCTGCAGTTTTATAGGGTTATATTTGCTAGGTAAAATTTTTTAAGCCATCTGTAAAATTGTGTGTTTCAAAAATAAAGTAAGTTAATAAGATACTCTGATCCGAATATTCCTTATTCTGCAGTTCAAATACACTCCACCAGGTGGCATCATACCTCTGCTTGTTACCAACTCTTCCTAAAAATGAAGACACAACTTTTGATAAAGAATTTCTTCTAGAATTGCTGGTAAATATTAATGTTCTTTAAATTTTCCCTTTCTTAAAGACGTGGGTTGATACAAATTTTTTCCTGGGCTAAAGGTTAAGTAGGTCATTGCTACCTGTTTCACAATTACATCATCATATGATTTTGTCCGATTTCATATCTATTAGATTTCTTTTCTTAAGTCTTTAACCTTTTAAAACTGCTTCATGGCGTGAATTCAGTCCAAACATGAATGAGCAGAGCTTCTGTGTCAGGCACTGGATTCAGGCATTAGGGATACATTGATAATTGACACCATTCCTGCCTTTTACAGGTCATAGTTACACAGACACAGGTAATACATATGCATTCATATTTATCTAACCATTTATTTTAAAAGTTATTTAAATATGGTACCTTGAATATTAAGGCATACCTTTATCATTAGAAAACTGAGGAATATTTAGAAAAATTATCACTGACTTGGTTTAAGAATTCTAACGGATTTTTCAGTCATTTTGGGAAATAATGGACTTAAACTAATACTTCTTTGGTAAGGTTTTATTTATTTATTTTTTTAGTGCAGTTTTAGGTTCACAGAAAAATTGAGGAATAGGAATATTTTATTTTTAGCTTTAGAAAAATAATTCATAAAATGCATGAGTAATTATATCCCCACTCTGAATATTTAAGCTGTTTGCAATGTTCACTTTTATAAATAATGGTGTGGTCCTGGCACATGCCTGTTTGTGCATATGTGTGGACATTTAGGAGAGGTACCTAGAAGTGAAATTATTTGATTGAAGCATGTGCTTATTTAAAAGATAAGATTCAGCCGAATTATCCTCTGAAAGATGTATGTTCCTACCAACAGTGTATTAGAGTGTGTCTCCTTAAGCAGCATTGGATGTTATGAGTCATCCCAATTTCTGCCAGTTGCATGAGTAAAAAAAAATACCTTGTTTTAATTTTTTTGTTTTTAGTTTGTTTTTTATAACTCTACAAACATAAACTGTGTGGGTGTGTATATGCATTTTTTACATGTATGGAACCATAATAGGTACACAGTTTTGTGATTTATATTCCAAGCTCATACTTTTAATATAGGGTGTAAAATACAGTCTCTTACTATAGAGAAGATGATGCTAGTTTTGGGGATAGTAACCAGAAGCTATTGGTAGCAGGTGTTTTAAGCCTGATGACAGGTGTTTAAGTGACAGTTGGAGAGAGATTCTTGGAGTTTTAACTTAATTCAAGTATGGAAAATACTTTTTTATTGATATGCTTACTTGTGTGAAATGTATGTCTTAGGTCACCGTCTTTGCCTTTTCATTTTTTCTGACTACAAGTGCTTTCTAAAACTTCCTTGTCCTATTTTCTGACAACATGAAATCTTTTCTCATAAGTCAGGTTTGGGGATTAATAATAAATCCTTCTATACAAAGAAATGAGGATTTTTTTAAGGACTCTTTCTAATGGAAAATAGGTTTAAGTATAAAGCAGATCCTGTGCCTTTTACAGTCTTACAGCTAAGATTCATCCATGAAATTTAAATATTTTTGCCAAAAAGAAAACAGTTTTAAAAATTTATAGTGCTACAGCATTATCTTTCATTTCCTCTCTCTCCTAAAGGATTTCCTTAGGCTTTGGATTCTTCTAATACCTGAATTATGATAAAGAAGTTGAAATATGCATATTGTTTAGATGATATCACACTATTTTCTTTCCTAAAATAATACTCTCTGTACTGAAGAGAACGTGACACATTTTCCACATGTATCTTTTTAACATGTTAATTAGGTAACAAGCTTATTTCTGTTAGAGATAGATGACTATAATATTAACAATGGAAATCTACATAGAGGTCATAAAGGCCAACTCTCATTTTACAAGGAAAACTGAGGCCAGGGGTGTGTGTGTGTGTTTAAAAAGATTTATTTATTTATTTCAGTGAGCGAGAAAGCCTGAGTGAGGTGGGGGGGTGGGCAGCAGGAGAGGGGAAGCAGACTCCACGCTGAGTGTGGAGCCCAGTGCTGAGTTCTATCTCCTGACCTGAAGATCACGACCTGAGTTGAAACCAAGAGTCAGACACTTAACCAACTGAGCCACCCAGGTGCCCCCAGGTTTTTAATAAACAAAATTTTCCATATTGTTTAATTAGTAGTAGAATGAAAACTTTAATCTAGGACTTAGGGCTTAACATTGGTGAATATTAAGTGCTGTGGTTTTTAAGGTCTTGGCATGTGCCAGGCACTTTGATGCTGTTTTACAGTATTCCGTTTCATTTTCATAAGAAACCTGAGAGGTGAGTTTTTTTATCTGTTTTACTGAAAAAGAAGCTAAGATCAGGGAAGTTAAAGGAACATGCCCAGTTTTTACATAGCTCATAAATTAGAGGTACTTGGTGTTGATCTGCCTGATTCCAAAGCCCATCATAATTGGTGCCTCTCTCATCTTTGACTTATGGAGAAAATGGAAATAGGGAAAAAACCCTCTTATTAAGTGGTACCATAACTGAAAGACATGAAACTTCTCAATCCATACTTTATGGTGAATTTCTCCATAAATTATTTTGATTAAGAAAAGATGCTTCTAACTTTCTGCATGATCTGTTTCTTTTAGGTATCTCGTCATGAACGTCGAATTTCTCAGATTCAGCAGTTGAACCAGATGCCTTTGTATCCAACTGAGAAAATCATATGGGATGAAAATATTGTCCCAACTGAGTACTATTCTGGGGAAGGTATGGCAGAGAGTACAGGATTCAGGTGTACCATGAAATTTAGTTTAGAATTTATCATATGTAACTGAAAATACTCCTATCTGTTACATGCATTAGGATAATTTTCTGGTACCCTGAAGTTCAGTTTTAAAGCTGGAAACTATTCAGTATTTTGAATACATAGTATTAGGGATTTTTATTAAATTTAACCATGCCCTAATGTGTGTGTGTGTGCTGTGCATGCGTGCTGCACACACATGCTCAGATGTGCACGTGTATACATACATTAGGATGAGATATATATATATATATCATATACATATATTATCCTTTATAAAATATGACTGTAAGCATAAAACTATGTTTTAAGGAGACCTAATAGTGAAGGAAGTATAGCTCTCATTATGTCACTGTAAAAGGCTTTGTTTGGTAGTGTATTATTTTTCAAAGCCTTTTTTAGAAGTTCTTTTGAATTCCTTGTTAAGCCAGCTAATGACCACCAAAAATTGTCAGTAGTTAATAATAAACCCTTCGTTTTGATTAAAAATAGTTATTCCCTGGTTTACTTATCTATTTCAACAGGTTTGTTCCTAGATGCTTTTGTTCATCCACTAAGGATGAGAATTTGTCACAATTGAGTATATGCTGAAGTACATTCTGACATATTTTGAAGGCATATTTAAAAAAAAAAAATTAAGGAAATTTTTTGAACAATGGCATCATTATGAGAAGTTTGGCTATTTTAAAGACATCACCAGTGGTAATTTATTTAAAAGAAAAACGGATATTTCAGAGTTGTATCCTGAAGTCGTATCCATAACTTCAGTAAAGCCAGTGCACCAAAATTGTGCTAGATTTCAGAATAGGCAGTCTTCATATTTTTTTTATTCTTACAAAGGTCAATGACTTGTTTTTTCACTTTTCTAATTTGTTCATGCTAAAAGCATTTATGACCATGTATGTATGACATCTAACTCTTTGTCTAATCAGTTCCTAAAAGGCACATATCGCTTAGTATTTTGTCTTGTCAGTACAGAGCTTATGTGTCCTTAAATATGTACATAGTCTTTCATCTAGCTTTTGGTGCTATCCAGTGATGCTGCTCTGAGTTTAAAACACACTTGCTTAGTATATAAAATATTGTTCTTCTTTCCCACCTGCAATTAATGAAGGTTAAGGAAAGTATTTCAGAACAATATTAGTTGCCAAATGGTTTAACTGTAATAAAGCTGTCTTCAGATATTTGACTATGTGATGCCATTGTTCTTTAGGGACCATGGATGGCACTGTGTTTTAGGGGCTCAATATCTGATGCTCATAAATAGGCAAAGATCAAAGCTAATACTGAATGCTTATGCAGACTGCTTCTAGCTCCCAAGAAGAGAAAATAAGTGTGAAATTGGTACAGATATTTAAAAAGATATAGTTAAGAATTGTAAAGAAAATCCTTGTAAAATTTTATGCCCTCATTTTGAGCCTTTTTAAGAAAATAAACACAAATATAGAAAGCCACACAACATAAATATAGGGCTTAACAAATTATTATAAGGGAAATAACCACCTTATTAGCTATCTCAGAACCTTCCCATAAGCTCCTTCCTAGTACTGCTTCTCCCTCCACCTGAAAGTAACCATTTCTTGACTTCTATAGCAATCACTATATATTTCTTCATAGTTTTATCACCTACTTGTACATCCATGTGTGATAGTCAATCTTGTACATTTTTAAAATGTCTTTTACTTCACAAATGCCCTCTGTATGCCTTCCTTTTCTTTTGAAGAACCCAAATTGTTTGATCTGTATAGTTTCCCACAGTCTAGTTTTTTCTAACTGACTACTCAGTGTACAGTTGAGTATGTCTCTCTGCTCTTTATTTTTCTTGCAGATTGGCAGCTGAATGCAGAGGCTTGGTCAGGCTGAGGTTTTCTCTCTGGCAGGATTCTTGGTGGTGCTGTATTCTTTCATCAGATGCACAGAATGTCTGGTTGTTTGTGTGTGTGTGTGATATAAGTAGCCATTGCTGCTTAATGGCTAGATTTGTTAATTCAATGACAGTTGCAAAATAGTCACATTTTAATTCTTTTTTTTTTTTTTAATAAAATGATGCTGTCTAAAGAGACACTTTCCCTCAGCCTCTGGCCTGAAGATACTGAGTTAGATTATAAATCAGAATCTAACATAAATGATGTGAAATTTTTTTTTGCATTGATATTCTTTGCCATTTGGTAAGAATGGATACAGATGATGAAAATATTATGATTTTCCAGTAAAATGTGTTTACTTTGAGGTTCTTTTTTTTTTTTTTTAACCTTTTTGGTATTGCAGCCAAGTGCTTATTCACTTATTATCCAAGGGAAAGAGCAGTTAGTGAAGATATTAGAAAGAATATTGTTCATTAATATAGTCAGAGAAGGGAAGTAACTCCAGGAATAGTATACAATGAATACCTTATCCTTAAAGCCTAGCCAAAAGGCAGAGATTCAGAGCACAATAGTGCTCATTGGAGATAGATTAATATGTTGTAATATACTAACTAATTAGCTTTCATGGTAAATTTGTCATGGGCTTAGTTTATGGTCACTATTTACTTCAAGCTTTGCCAAATATAAGTGAGGGGGTAAAGGAAGAATTTTTAAACTACTTGAGACTATATTAATTGTAAGTATCTTCAGATACTTTTGAGAAGCCTGTTTGTATCTGAATCATTGATGCACGGTTATATGTATTAATGAGATTTATCCTTCCTTCCCAACTCTTAATGGATAGCATTTGTTAACTTGGTTTTTCGATTTCTGTGTGAAAATAAAAATAGAACCTTATCAAATATGCTATATTTCAGACATCATTAAATTAAACTCTTAACCAAATTTGTAGTGCATTTTTTACACATAGCACAGCTGTCTGATTAAAAGAATAATTCAAATGTGGATGCTGTTTTCTTTTTCAGGCTGTCTTGCTCTTCCCAAGTTGAATTTGCAGTTTTTGACTCTTCATGATTACCTCTTAAGGAATTTTAATCTCTTCCGCTTAGAATCAACTTACGAAATTAGGCAGGACATCGAGGATAGTGTCAGCAGAATGAAGCCATGGTTAGTAAATTGGTTCCACTTGTAATGAAGAGGTGCAAACAGTGACTGACATAACCTCTGTCAGAAACCTCATAAGTGTATTTAGAAATAGTATGCCTGGCGTGAAGATGCCCTCCAAAATATGAGATATTTACTCTTTGAGAAATTCTCTAATGTGGATTAGAGTATACTAAAAGTGCTAAAACATAAAATATGTATCTGGGTACTTGGGTGTGGTGCTGGGGGACTGGGGATAAGGGAGGAGAGGTCTTCATTCTTGGAGGATGGTGAGGGGAGAAATGTAGAGGGGAGAGTAGGGTGGACATTAGCAAAAGGGTAAAGAGGGAAGGTATGGGCTGACCAGCAGGCCTTTACTAGGACAACGGTTCAAGTCCTGGGAGCTTATGATAAGGAGGTCTTCTACTACCCCAGCTGCTCTTGTGGCTGTCACCAGTATTTCAGTTAGCCTCTCCCAGGAACCTGGCAAGAGATGAGGAGCATTGCTGAGCATCACATGGAATCGAACGTTGCAAAGTCTTCCCTGGTCCTCCCTCCATAGATTACCTTGACTAAACCATCAGGATTTACTTTGGGGGCCAGTTGAGTAGGTCTCTTTATTTGAGGAAGTCGTCTGCTTAAACTCAACTCCCCACTTGCTAGCTCATGTCTGGAATTCTTCTAGCTAAGAAAAGACTTTCATTCTAGTTATTGTAGGCAGCTCTGCATTATGAGATTTGTGAAGGTCCGTTTTGCTTTTTAGACATGACTGATTTAGACATGAGATAAATGCCCTTCATTCACTATTTCATTCTACGTATAGAATTGATGAGGGTAAGTTATATATCACAAGTGACTATAAACTAGTAAAATTCTTATAAAATGGATTTTTATTATATTCTGGTCACACTGTGCATACACATACAATTATACTGCATTCTGTATGAAAAGCTTAACAGTTTTTGAATGTGAACAGATTCAGGTATCTTCCAGGCTTCTCTCCTTACTAATTACAGAGAGCTACATGGACACTATGATTATGATCTGTTTTTTTCACTTCCACATTTTATTTCATACACAGTTCTATTTTTTAATTAGTTATTATGTGAAAAGTTATTCTGGGTGAGACTATAAAACATAACATAAAATATTTTTGACTTAATAATCAGTTGAGTCAGTAGGCAGGCTAGTACTGTGAGGTTTGTATACTTGCTGGCTAATCATCTCTGCCCACAGTTTTGCTGGAATTATTGCCCACTGTTTGGACCCCCAGGGAGTGCTTGATCAGAAAGCTTCCTTTCAGTTTATGGTTAACCTTGGGTTTACATGCTCATATTCTGGACCTAATTTTGGCCATTTTGCAAACTAGGGATTTATTAACTAGCAGTTTATCAAATAGAATTCACTTATATTTTACTTAAATGCCAAATAAAGCAAAAATACTTAAGAGTTCTATGGTCTGTTAATAAAGGACATTTTTTTTAACTTACATTATTTTCTGCTAAGGGAAAGAAAATGTCACTTTTGGGAGTTAACTTGTGATAAAAATTTTTGTAGATTTTCATTCCTAATTGCCCATCACTGAAGGCTTTTAAAAATAATGAGATCTAAAAAGAGGCCAGGCTTCTATCTGTTTCTTATGTGCTGAAGGTGGAAAAGTCGGGGCATAAATTTTACTCAGAGCTTGGTACTAACGATCATGTATTCAGGCTGCTGAAACCACTGAGCAACGTAAGGGAGAAAGTATTTATGAGGGGCAGAAATCTATCCTTTTTAATCCTTCATGTTGCAGGTAGATTTTATAAGGGAAGAAAAAACAGTTGGGGAGAATAGATTAGTGGTTGCCTGGGGGTAGTAACAGGATTGACTGTAGTCAAATGAGAGGGATCTTTTATGCATAGGATGGAAGTGTTCTCAGATTGTGGTGATGGACGCACAACTCTGCACATTTACTAAAACATCATTGAATTGTGCATTTACAGTGAATGAATTTTATGGTATGTAAGCTATACTGTGGTAAAAGTGTAAAAAATGGAGGAGGTAATAGTTATTACAAAAGGGTTTAGACACAAGATAATACCTTTTAGGAACTCCCTGTACTAAGCAAGTCACTGGATGCAGAACTTTTATTTTAATTAGTTTCACTCTTTGATGTTGTGAAGTTCTACAATTTTTTTCTTAGAAAGCCTTTACCTGGGGGGTAAAGTATCTGTGTAAGTATGTCTTTATCTGTGTAAGTATGTCATTTTTGGCAGTACTTTCCAGTTTCAGAGTGCTGCTGCAGTATTTACGTTATAGATTTCCCTGATAACAATGTAAAATCTAGAGCACCAGTTAGACTAACATAAGAAGAATGAATGGGTATTTGAATGTTAGTGATTCTGGTTATTACAACTAGCTTGATTATCTTTACCCCCAATCCATGGCAGTATCTTTTAAATGATTTAAATATTATGCCCTAAAGCAAGCATTTGCGTAGATAATTATCATTTGTTGGTTTGTTTTTAATTTTTAAAATTCCAGCTTATTCTAAAACAGCTTATAGAAATATCGAAATACATAAAATATAAGGAGTTGAGACTATATTGATGAAGAGAGGAAAAGGATAAGAATTATTGTTACATTATTATAATCTAGATTACTCTGTTATTATTATTATAGATTATTTTTTTAAGATTTTATTTATTCATTTGAGAGAGCACAGAGTGAGAGGGAGAAGCAGACCCCCCGCTGAGCCGGGAGGCCGATGCGGAGCCCAATGAGGGCCTCAATCCCAGAACCCCAGAGATTATGACCTGAGCCGAAGGCAGACGCTTAACCATCTGAGCCACCCAGGAGCCCTGGGATAGATTGTTCTTTGACCAAATGCCTCCGCTCTCTGTATATAGAGTTACCTTTTTTTTTTCCTGTGTGTGTAGTGGGGAGATACTCTTCTCTACTTCCCTTTCTTTACTGGACCATATTTGCGTGTTCATTCTACTAAATATATTCCTTATATATTGGGACTTTGTTTTTTTGGTTTGTTTTGTTTTTTGTTTTAAGTTTAGTAATAAGAGTTACTAATGTCAGGGCTTAGTAGCTAAATATGTGTTCCTCCTTACTAATTTTACTTGACCAGAAGTTGGAGAAAAGTCATTTTTTTGTTTGAGTAATCATGCACTTCTTTGGTTTTCAGGCAATCTGAGTATGGTGGTGTAGTGTTTGGTGGTTGGGCACGAATGGCCCAGCCTATCGTGGCTTTCACTGTAGTTGAGGTTGCCAAGCCCAACATAGGTGAAAACTGGCCAACCAGAGTTCGTGCGGATGTTACCATCAATCTGAATGTCAGAGATCACATCAAAGATGAATGGGAAGGTAATTTTGTATTTCAAAAAATTAAGTTACATTTTTGCCTTTTTAGTGTATAGAAAATTGGCAAAGCACTTTTACTAAGCAATACCTTTCTAAACGTTTATGAAATTTATCTTTAAAAATTGTCTTTATAATTACTAGTAGTAAAAATATCAAGAACATACAAGAACAATTAAATGTCTTAATACTTTAGTAAAAAGTATAAAATAGCATGCATATCATCACAGTATTTTGAAAATTGCAGTTTGCAAAGCTGAGAGGACCTCTTTAAATCCCAAATTTAGTAAGACAATATTTATGAATTTGTAGGATCAGTATAAAAAGAATCAAAATATTACTATTCACTAAAGAAAGGGAGGAAAACCACACATAACCTGCACACATGCAGAGCTAGTAAAGAAAATTGGTGTTTTAAGAGAGAAAAGTCACCAAAGTGAAGAGAATAGGGATGCATACAGTTGCTGGAAAATAAAGATACAAAATCAAAATTAGACAAACTCAAAAGGAATTTAAGGGGATCTCATAAAACATCTCAGAAAGAAATAATAATAGTTTAACTATTTGTACCAAAGGGAGGAAGTTAGGTAAAGAATTAGTGATATTAAATATTCAAGGATAAATAACAGATGCAGAGAAATTAGATGAGTTATTTCCCCTGTTATTTCCTAGGCAAGATTTTAGGGGCAGGAGTTCTGTGTCACAAGGAATTTTATTTAGAGGCAGATTTGTTCAGAGTTACTAAGCCAAGTAAAGACTGAAAACATTGATAACACCTGTGCCAGAACTGACACATGACCTAATTTTTAAGTGGCACTTTATATTTTTCTCCCAGCTGTCTGTGAGAGCTCTTACTTGCTGTCCTGTTGTGAGAAACAGTAGCCGGTAGATTTTATCTCCTTCCACCTTCTTGGCATGCCAGAAGGAAAGGGATAGTCCCTGAATGGGTCAGTTGTCAGAAATTATTGCTCCCAGTATAGCTGTTTATAACCAGAGGGACTATATGATACATTTATCCAGTAATTCTGAAGGAATCCAGCAGCAAAGCTGGCCACGTGTTTAACAAATGGCCACTGTAGTGGGTATAGTTTGTGAGAGATTGTTTTTATGATTCCTGGATCCTTCAGAAGAGTTCCAATCTAATCTAGTGCATTACACATCTAGCGTACTGTATATCTTTATTGTTGCTAAATCTTAAGAGAGACATTAAGTTGCCGGAGAAGGTTTTATACTTACTACCTTTGGCATTTAAGAAAGTATTAAAATAAACACTGTTTTACACAGTTACCTAAACTCCTTTCCTTCATTACTTTGGAGACTTCTATCAGAAGGACATTAAACAGTCTTTTTTTTCCCTTTCATTCTTTTAAACATAGGCTTCTGACAGAATGAGAAATGTAATGGATAAATTTTGATGGGCAAGAGAGCGAACAGTAGGGTATTGTGGAACAAGTGATTCATAATATGGGGCATGGTGGGGAGAAAAGTGTTTTCTGGGAGGCCAGAGCCAAAATTCACTCCCTGTGTTGATCACAGATGGAGTAACTAAATAGAAAATGGAGGCAAAAAATGAGAGGGAGGTTCTGGAAGTAGTAATGAATATTGTCCTGTAGAAACAATAGTTTTGAAGAGTTTAAGCTAAATATATAAAACATTCTTCTTGTTCCTTCAAAAAGGTATGACGTTCAGGCCCATATCTTCTCCATTTCCCCATTTAAAATTAAGGAAACTGAATTAAGGACAAAGAAATGCTGGATTCTGCTCCAGAAGGCACAGCCAGGATGGAGTGGATACAAATGGTTGAAGGGAGAAAATAGTTGAGCTCACTGTTACATAAGGGTTTTTTTAATGTAGATCTGAGATGTCCCACAGTGAAATCATCTGCCTTGGTAGTAGTTTTCGTTGCTTCTCCTGCTTCTAATTTGTTGGGAAGTAAACAATAAAGTCATTATTATGAATCAGAGCAATTATTGCTAGCACACTTAAACCCCAGTCCATATTAAGACAAACCAGAATGGTCCCAATACTGTTAGCTACACACTGACATTGCTGATTTGATTTAGTTGTATATCTTATTACCACGGTTATGAGCAAGCAGACTATTTAAGTTTGCATTTATGTCCTACAGTGGCTAACAAAACAAATCAGGAAAGCAATGAAGATTAAGTGGTATGACATTACATGGATATGTGATCTAAATTTATGTCGCTTGTCTTCCCATGTCTCTACTTATAATAGAGCTGGGGATCCAGTTGAGTCCAGTATTGGGTCTAATGACTGAGAAGCTATGGACTTTGGTACAAGTTTCCTATTTCTGGACATTTACTTAATAAAATTTTTATTTGCCAAATGAAACTATATATATTCAACCATGTTCTCAGTATGGTATCTGTAAACAATGCTTTTGTGCTTTGATGAATTATTCTTGAGTTGACCTCTTTCAGGGAATGCAGTTAGACTGTTGTTGGACTGATAGTGATGGATAGTTTAAACTGATGTTAGAAACCTGCTGAATATGATATAGATGGATTATATGCCAACCATATTTTCAGTTAGTTATTAAGAATGCTAAAAATAAGAATTATGAGCATCCAATTTTGGAGTTGTAACATGACTTGGAGGGCTTATTCAGTAATGTATTCATGGCATAAAAGTTTATAATTTTAATATAAAGAGAAATTTTCACTTTAATTATTCCTGTCAAACATTGAATTTTAAAGATTATAGGAAAACCCATAATTATATTACAATGCAAATATAATCATTGATCACCTCTGGTACTTTACATGTTTCTTATATCTCTTAAAGAGGATGAGAATTTGCCATCAAAGGACTAAAAACAATGATATTCTAATAAGTGAAAATGTCTTTATGTTTTACCAGGTCTTCGTAAGCATGATGTATGTTTTTTAATTACTGTACGGCCCACAAAACCTTATGGTACTAAGTTTGACCGGAGGAGACCTTTTATTGAGCAGATTGGCCTGGTTTATGTGAGAGGCTGTGAAATCCAGGGCATGCTGGATGATAAAGGGCGTGTCATTGAAGACGGTATGGCGATCTGTAGTTTTGAAAGCGTGTGTGTACATAATGATAACGTTCTGTGCCTTTTTTTCTTTTTGCATCTTAGGTAATATTTTTTAGTTATTTACATACTAAATCAACACAAAGAATTATATATAAAATATATGTAAGGTACCTAGCACCTAGGTAGAAATAAATAATATGGTTTCTAAACTTTTTGTTAGATATTGAAAAGGACAGGATCTTTTGAAATTACCTTTATTTAAAACTTTCCTTTTATAATACTTTACAGTATTGCTTTTTTAAAACCTCTAAACACTTCTTATGACATATTTGTCTTAATTTTTCCTTCTTAAGTTTTATTGATTTGATTCATTGTAGCAGTGGCTCTCAATTGGGAATAGCACTACCCTGCATTTTGAAATGTATGATGGTATTTATCTTGTCCTGTGCCCGGGGTAGGAGTAGGGGATGGTGAGCTATTGGCATTTGATGGATGGGGGCTAGGGATGCTAAACATCTAAACAGAGCTGCCTTGGGGCGCCTGGGGGCTCAGTTGGTTAAGGTCTGACTCTTGATTACAGCTCAGGTCATGATCTCAGGGTCGTGATATTGAGCCCCGAATCAGGCTTTGTGCTGAGCCTGGAGCCTGCTTAAGATTCTCTCTCTCCCTCTTTCTCTGCCCCTTTCCCATCACCCACTCACGCGCACACGTGCCCCCACTGTCTCTCAAAAAAAAGAAAAGAAATTTAAACAGAGCTGCCTTGTAGAAGGAATCGTCATACCTAACATGCAAACATTACCCCATTTAGAAATACCGCCTTACAGGATTTGTCAGCTCTTTGATTTCTTAAGCTTATCATTGACTTTTCTTTGAAATTCTTCATCTTGTCCTGACATTCTTGTTACACTTACTGTTAAATTATAACTGCATCTATGTCCAGTGCTTATTTCCCAATTTGTTTACTAAACTTCTCTCAGAACTTGAATTGACTTCTACTGCCTGTCATTTTAAGGTTGCACCATTGCTACAAGTGCTGGTAATTAAGCTGACCTTACTGCTAAAATAAAAGAAAATAGGAAAGGTGGAATAAACATAAGGCCACATATTGGGACTGGCGTTAGAGGGCTAAGACAAAAGTAAGGAGACGAGGCAAAGGGGCAAGAAAAAGCCTCTCAGCTTTCAGCTATTAGTATATGAAATTTCCTTTCACACTGGTGATATTAGGAATGGAATGGGGAAGGATGAAAAGAGTGATCAGTCGAGTGCTTACGCTAGGTAAGCTAAGTAATAGGAGCTCTGAATAACTGACAAAAGTAAAGTTGTTTGACTTCTAGGGCTCTTATTTTGGTTGAGGACATATACAGACAATTGCAGTCCATGGCACTGCATCATAAACATTACATCACAAACATTTTTCTGGGAAAGAAATAGGAAGAATTTAGGAAAAGGAGAAAATATTTTCAGCTTCTAGGCATTTGAAATGGATGAGTGGGAAACGTTCTAGTCAGGGGAAGGACTGGGGTTTAGTGTGGAGAATTTACTCATCATTTCTAGAAGAGGAATACTGCTAAGTTACTTTGATATTTGAAAAGTATATATTTCACTTACAAACTTTTTCAAAATGTCTAGGACCTGAGCCAAGACCCAATCTTAGAGGAGAGTCAAGGACATTTAGAGTGTTCTTGGATCCAAACCAGTATCAACAAGATATGACCAATACTATACAAAATGGAGCAGAAGATGTGTATGAAACTTTCAATATCATAATGAGGAGAAAACCAAAGGAAAATAACTTTAAGGTAATTTTTAGGCTATATAATTGAAGGTACTGTATCCAATTTGAGTAACTTCTAAAACATAAATACATAGATCCTGGGTAAAAGAATGTTTTGTTAAGGAAATGATCACTGCTTTTTTTCTGGTTCTAAATAATTCTCTTATATTATTAACATGTAGACTAAATATAAAAACTTAAGAAAATTTATTTACTAAATCTATTTTGTCTTTTGATGAGTTTAGAAACTTAAAATATAAATTAATCCAGGTCAGCCTCCTTCCTTGCTTTTTGTATATTAGATGCTCAGGATAGCAAGTATAAGGTAAAGGAAACTGCTTGTTTATTTGTTTCCTGGGAGTTCTTTTTTTAAATCAAAAGTAAGTGTACTTCCAAATCACTTTATGAATACAGATGTGAAACCCTGTAGCTCAGAATTACTTTATGATATAATGTGTTTTACTCATTAGCAGGAAAAGGGAGGTTTGGGGCTCGAGAATTTTGCTTTTATAACTTAATGGAGATAAGGAGTTTTGATAGAAGATTTTCTCAATTATCTGAAACTACTATATTATAAAACGTAAACATTGAATGGTTTTAGCATTTGGTAACACTACCTTCTGCACAGGTACATTTCTTTTTTCTCTCCCCCCAAAACATAGTGCTTCTTATGCATTATCAGTTTATTACCTTTTTTTCCCGCTGTTCTTGTGATTAAAAAAAGGAGACTTCACATATAAAGGAATTTATTCCCCATTTTGCCCTATAGTTGAAGACAGAACAACGGAACTATTCTTGATTTCTTTTTGTCTCACACTGTGCATCCAGGCCATCAGTCAGTCTGGTTAGCTCACCACCTCCACTGATGCCACATCCAAGACACCTTCATCTTTCACATCCCTGCTTCCATTCTTGACGGCCCCTCCCATTCTGCTATTCTCCACATAGTGATAGAATATGAATTATGCCTTGGTACCCTGTTCAACACACTTTAATGGTTTCCCCTCGCAGTAGAAAATTATTACTGTAATCCAAGAGGCTCCTTCATTATCTGTCCTCTGGCCACCTGTCCCAACATCATTTTCTAACATCTTTTCCTGATTCACTCCATGCCAGGTGTGCTGACCTTTCTGCTGTTCTTTAAGAATCCAAGCCTTTGTCCATGGTGTTCCCTCTACCAACACAGTCTTCCTCCCAGGTATTTACCTGGTTCGTTCCCTCACTGCACGTGGGCAACTCTGCTTAGATGTTAACTCCTAAGAGAAGCTTTTCTCTGGAAACCTTACCTAAAGTAGCATCTCCCCTTCTTCTCATTCTTAATCCGACTGTCTTCATTTCTTCTCACGTCTTTGTTGTACCTGGTGACTATATATTTGTTATTTATCTGACTTCACCATTAGAATGCAGGTCTATGAGGGCAGGGTCTCATTTGTTTGTCTCTGTTTTGTTTCTCAGTAATGATTGAATTTCAGTCACTTAACTAAAAATGGAAAAAAGTTCCTTCCTTATGTTCATTCGTTTGACCATTTTATTTAATGCCCACCATGTGTCTGGCATTGTGCTAAGTTGTATGGAGCCAATAAAGATGAGTAAGACACAGCTTATATTTTTAGGAAGTTTAGACTACTAATAAGGGAAGTTAAAAATATAAACAAATAACTACCATGAAATGTTAAAAGGTGCCAAAAGTCATAAGAAGGATGCAGATAAAAGTGTCATGGAAGGGTGGCTCAGTCGTTAAGCATCTGCCTTTGGCTCAGGTCATGATCCCAGGGTTCTGGGATCGAGCCCCACATCGGGCTCCCCGCTCGGCGGGAAGCCTGCTTCTCCCTCTCCCACTCCCCCTGCTTGTGTTCCCTCTCTGGCTGTCTCTCTCTCTGTCAAATAAATAAAAAATAAAATAAAATCTTTAAAAAAAAGTGTCATGGAAGGGGCTCCTGGCCGGCTCAGTCCGAAGAGCATGCGACTCTTGATCTCAGGGTTGTGAGTTCTAGCCCCACGTTCGGTGTATACTAAAAAAAGTAAACTTTAAAAAACAACAACAAAAAAGTGTCATGGGAGGTCAAAAGAGGCATTCAGATTCCAATCCAAGAAACAGGGGCAGTGATTAACTTTCCTGTGTTTGGGAAAAGGACAAATGCTCTTTTGGTGTCTTCAGTGTTTTATTATATACCTGGGCAGCATCCCTTATTTCCTTTTCTCTTTCCCAGTTCGTACAGTGCCTGGATGTTTTATTTCTTGCCTGAATAGTTGGACTAAATCGCTTCCTCTGCCCTAGCTCTTTTCTCCTCCTAGTCAGTCACCTGTTTTTCATATGCCTCCACTGATCATTTCAGTCAGCTTCTCAGAGCATTTCTTTGACTTTCCATTAATGATTAAATAAACCACAGCTCCTTCGCAGATCCTCTGCTTTGAGCTAAATTGAAATGCCACTTTCCTCCATGAAACCTTTCCTAAGGTCGAAAGTCTTCCCTGCGTGCATCTCTCGCCTACTTGGAACTGTGTTCTCATTGTATTTTGTAATACTCTGTATTGTGGACCAAATTCTGCTGCTTTGTGTCATTGCTAAGGACATATTTCATCTCCCTACTAAAAATTTAATTTTCTTAGAGAGTAGAGCTCTTGTTTTATCCATCATTATGTGAACATACTCATTTATCTGTCCATCCAGTGATTTGCCCATCTCATAGTCAAACTTCCTAGATCCCTGCTCTCATGGAAATGATATTCTAGTGGGGATTAGACAAATGATAAACAGGTAACTAAGTACATGAATAAGAGAATTTCAGGTAGTGATTAGTGCAAGAAAATAAAACAAAGTGATGTGATAAGTGTGTGATTAACATATACTGTGCTGTTACTTAGTTGTCCTGTTGTAGTGTATAGCATTTATAACATAAAAATGGTTGGTTTTGTTATTTTATTCTTTGTAATTAATAGCCTAGCCTTCTGATTTCCATATATGGGATAGAGCACTTTCTCGAAGTAATTATTAGAAAGTCTAAAAGTTTACCTTGAGTTTTGGTAATTTGGACAATGTATATGTTAATAACTATAGTGACTTTTTATTGTGGAATGTTTATTCTGAAATTTATTTGACATTTCACTTTTATCTTTTTGTCTATTTTTAATTTAAAATTTCTAATTTTATTTCTTCTGTTAATTTTAATATTTTTAAACTCTGAGATGTTTCACAACTGAGGCATATATTAATATGCTTCTGGTTGTGTGTCGTCTTAACATTGAGGAACTATGGAATATAAAGAGGAGAAGACTCCAGGAATTTCTAAGAGGAAGCATCCTCTTTAAGGGTTTGTTCTATAATATTTTCTTGTTGTTGTGTAGTCCTGATTAGGTTTTCATTCTACCCAACGGGAGTCAAGTGATGAACTCATTTATGACATTCTGTCTAAATGAACTCCTAACGGATAAACTGTCCTTGCTAAGTTTGGTCTTTTGTTTAACTCAGTGTATGGTATCAGCTGAAAATATAGCTGTTGATTTAGTCTAGCCAAGCACCTGTCAGCAGAAAATAGCTTCTTGCCCTGAAACACTCGGGAATTCTGGATTAGTGCAGCCAGCTCTGCATTCCAGTGAAGTGCAAATGTTTGAGATGGCTTCTTGACACAACCCTTTTCTGTCCTTTCACTGACAGGCTGTGCTGGAGACCATTCGGAACCTGATGAATACTGATTGTGTGGTACCTGACTGGCTGCATGACATCATTTTAGGTTATGGGGATCCAAGTAGTGCACATTATTCAAAAATGCCCAATCAGATTGCTACTCTTGATTTCAATGATACATTTCTCTCCATTGAGCATTTAAAAACCAGCTTTCCTGGTCATAATGTTAAAGTAACTGTGGATGACCCAGCTCTACAGATACCCCCTTTCAGGTAAAGTCAGAACTGGACATACTCCTTTCAAGCTTTCTGTAGCCTGTGTGAGATAGGCCATTGGACTGTAGCTAAAGTTTTGAATATCTTGATTTTGTTTGGGCAGTCTTTACCTTCACCATATAATGACTGGGATAAATTTATTTTATTTGACTCCATTTCTTAGTACAGAAAACTGTTTTAAGTCCATAAGAAAAGTAGGGGTGCCTGGGTGGCTCAGTCGTTAAGCGTCTGCCTTCGGCTCAGGTCATGATCCCAGGGTCCTGGGATCGAGCCCCACATTAGGCTCCCTGCTCGGTGGGAAGCCTGCTTCTCCCTCTCCCACTTCCCCTGCTTGTATTCCCTCTCTCACTGTGTCTCTGTCAAATAAATAAATAAAATCTTCAAAAAAAAAAAAAAGACCATAATAAAAGTAGCCTCACGTCTAACAGGGACCAGTAAATGCTTGTTGTCTGAAGAGCATTATGTATTAACTATAACTATTAACTATAATTTAAAGTATTTGACTAAAGAAATATGCCTTTGTCTATTATGTATAATCTGGTATATTTCCTAATTAATGGACATAGTCATGGGATGTTGAACTTTCTTTTGTTTTCAGGGAAAAAATTCTGTTTTTCTTTTAAGCTTAGTTGCTTTCACAAAACTTAAATATTCACAATATAGTTATAATTCATGTTAAAGGAGCTTTGGTTTTAATATTGAGTAGAAATGGAACAAAGTACCTGAAGCAGCAACTCATCACTCTTCCCTGAATTCTATTACATGGAAAAAGCGCACATAGAGAATTCTTTTTTTTTTTTTTTTTAGTTTAGTTTTAATGTATTCATTGACCTCACCTCCTGAGGTGTTCCAACACCAGGCTAAAAACTTTTGCCCTGCCTTAGGGTACCTGGGTGGCTCATTTGGTTAAGTGTCTGTCTTTGGCTCACGTCATGATCTCAGGGGCCTGGGATCGAGCCCTGCTGAGCAGGGAGCCTGCTTCTCCCTCTCCCTCTGCCCCCCACCCCCTGCTTGTGCTCTCTCTCTCTTAAATAAATAAATAAAATCTTTAAAAAAAAAAAAAAGAAAAAGAACTTCTGCCTTAAAGGCTTGATCCTCCAAGAGTCTCCTAACAGGGCTCCAGCCTGTCTCTCTAGCCTTATTTTCTCTATTGTAACCGTTCTGGCAAAACTGGCCACTTGTACTTGAAACTGTAGTCTTACTTCTTCCCAGAATATCTTCCCTTCCATGTTTGTATGTCTAATTTCTTTGAAACTCATCTTTGATGCCATCTCTCCCATGAAGCCTTTTCTTACTTAAGGAGGGACAGTGTGTAAAGCACTTCATAGTGCATGGATATAACTATAGAAATGCTCCTTCTTTGATTCTCCCTTAATCAGTTGACTTTTTCTAATCTGAACACATTAACAAACATTTTAGTGCTTTTAAGTCTACTCTTTTCAGAATATATGTACAGATAGTGAGTTCCTTTAAGACATAAATATTTCTTTCTGATCTGATTATCCTCCATACAATGTCATGCACAAGGTAGGTGCTTGGTAAACATTAATTGTAAAAATGAACAAAGATTTTGGTCTTGTAGGATAACTTTTCCAGTAAGAAGTGGAAAAGGGAAGAAAAGGAAAGATGCAGATGGTGAAGATGAAGATACTGAAGAGGCAAAAACCTTAATTGTTGAACCTCATGTCATTCCTAATAGGGGTCCTTATCCTTACAACCAACCCAAACGGTAATTTTACTGTCTGTATTAATTGTAATAATAAATAATAGTTTGCTATTTTGGATTAATAATAGTTTAAAATTTACTGATCCTTTAGATACCCCAGGAAGCTTCTGTTTCTGGACCCTCTTTCCTTGTATTCTGTCAGACAGCTAAATAGCTCAGACATTTTTGGTCGTTCTGTAGTCATATTTCCAAAAGAAACATTTTTGGGTACTATGAGAAATAAATATTAAAGGGCTACCTTAATTTGAGCACAGCATTCTTACTTCAAGACCATGTGTTACATGTAGCAGCTACCCTCATGCATGGGTGCCATGACTAAAAAAGTAGCATTATATATGGTATTAGATTGGGAACTGGAACTTTGACATTCCAGGTGAAATATAAGATGGGCTAAGTATGTTGAAAAATAATTGTAGTCTTTTTTTTCCATAAGATTCATTCAGTTTTAGTTGGTCATTAGAGGATGGAGGTGAAGGGAATCATTCAGAAGAGATTGGTTTAGTCTTGTAAGATGTAAACGTCTGGAGATTTGCCATCCAACATTGTTCTTATAGTTAACAATACCATATTATGCAACATTGTTCTTATAGTTAACAATACTGTATTAAAATTTGCTAAGAGGGTAGATCTCATGGTTTTTTGTTTTTTGTTTTACCACATACATGCACATGCACACTCACACAACCACCCACCCGGGAGAGAAGAGATTGGGAGAATGGGGCATATACAGAGGAGACATTTAGACCTCCGGTCATTGTTGTCTAAAGTTTTACCAAATGTTGTTCATCTGTGTTTTTAACCAACTTTTTATTTACTCTTATTTGCAGTAATACAATTCAGTTCACTCACACACAGATAGAGGCTATCCGTGCTGGAATGCAGCCTGGGCTAACTATGGTAAGAGAACTATTGTTACACATGTTTTTACATGGATTCAGACAAGAAGTAGGCCTCAAATGTTTAGAGTATATTTGAAGCACAAAAGCCCAACTGAATTTAAGTGTGTGTAAGTCATTGTGGCATTGTTTGCATATGGAGATTTTGCTTACTGCTCATTTCAGTATTCATAAATTAAGTTTAATGGAACATAGCTATGCCTGTTTGGTTATGAATTGCCCCTGCCCAGTTTTGTGCTGTAACAGCAGAGTTAAAATACTTGCAGCAGAGATTATATGGCCTGCAAAGCCTTAAATGTTTACCTGCTGGCCTTTTACAGATAAAGCCTGCTGACAACCAATTTAAAAGTGTGTTTAGTTTCCAAGTATTTAGAGACTTTCCTGTTAAATCTTCCACTTACTAATTTCCGGTGTAAGTCCTTTATGGTCAGAGACAATACTTTGTGTGATTTCAGTTTTTTATTTTTTTAATTTGCTCAAGTTTGTTTTGTGGTCCAGGATATGATCTCTTTTGGTGAATATTTCAACACACTTAAAAAGAGTGTTTATTCTGTTGTTTTGAGGTGGAGTGTCCTATATATGTCAGATTCATTTGGTTCAATATTTCTCTGTCCTTGCTGATATTCCACCTACTATTTCTGTTGATTACTGAAAGAGGAGTATTGAAGTCTCCAACTACAATTACATGTTTATCTGTTTCTCCTTTCATTTCTTTCAGTTTTTGCTTCATGTTTTTTAAAGCTTTATGGATAGATACATATTCAAGGTTGTAATGTCTTCTTGGTGAATTGATGCATTTATTATTATGTAATGTCTTTTTTCATCACTGGTAATTTTTTTTGTTCTGAGACGTACTCTGATATTAATAGAGCCACTACAGTTTTCTTTTGATTAGTGTTTGCATGGTATGTCTTTTCCCATTATTTTATTTCTAACCTACCTATTAATGTTTGACGTGAACTTCTTGTAAACAGCATCTATTTGGGGTATGTTATTTTCTTCGCTCTGACAGTCTCTTTTAATTGGTGTGTTCAGACCATTTACATTAAATGCAATTGATACATTTGGATTTAGGCCTACCATTTTATTATTTATTTTATGTTTATTCCCTTTGTTTTGTGTTCCTGTTTCTCTTTTTTTGTTTTTACTTTCTTTTGGGTTATTTACATAGTTTTTAGTGTTTCATTTTAATTTATCGTGTTCTTTTATATCTCACATAGTTTTTTCTTAGTGGCTGCTCTAGAGAATTAACAGTATAGATACTTAATTTTTCACAGTCTACTTAGAATCACTATTTTGTCTCTTAAGTTGGATAAAAGATCCTTACCTCCATGTAGGTCCCTTTCCCTTTTATATTGTAGTTGTTATGGATATTACGTCTATATACATTGAAAATACTGTCAGGCAATGTTAAAGTCAAACATTTTTTTAAATTATTTATTTGAGAGAGGGCGAGCATAGGTGTACACGCAAACGGGGAGGGGCAGAGGGAGAGGGAGAGATAATCTCCAGCAGACTTTGCACTGAGTGCAGAGCCTGACACGGGGCTCAGTCTCACAATCCTGAGATCGTATCCTGAGCCAAAATCAAGAGTCAGACGCTCAAATGACTGAGCCATCCAGGCACCCCAGAAAGTCAAACATCTTAAAGGGGTGAACTCTATAGAGAAGAATCTATTATAAATTTGCCATTTTTCTTTCATTCCTGATATTTTAAGTTCGCTCTGATGTCACTTCCATTCTGTCTGAAGAACTCTTTTACCACTTAAGAGTAGGTCTGCTAGTGGGGCACCTGGGTGGCTCAGTCATTAAGCATCTGCCTTCGGCTCAGGTCATGATCCCAGGGTCCTGGGATCGAGCCCCGCATCGGGCTCCCTGCTCGGCGGGAAGCCTGCTTCTCCGTCTCCCACTCCCCCTGCTTGTGTTCCCTCTCTCGTATCTCTCTCTGTCAAATAAATAAAATCTTTAAAAAAAAAAAAGTAGGTCTGCTAGCAATGAAATATCTTAGTTTGTCTTCATGTGAGAATGTCTCTGAATCATCTTCATTCTTTAAAGATATTTTCACTGGACATAGACTTCTATGGAGTTCTTTCCTTTCAGTACTTTTAAAATGTTATTCCACTTCCTTCTGGCTTCTGTGGTTTCTGAGGGAAACCCACAGTCACTTCAAACATCTTTTTGCTATATGTAATGTATCATTTTTTCTGGTTGCTATTAAGAATTTTTCTTTAATTTTCAGCTATTTAATTAAGATGTATTTGGGCTTGGATTTCTTTGGGATTATTCTATTTGGAGTTTGCTGAGCTTCCTGAGTCTGTAGATTTAAAATGTCTTTTGCCAGATTTTAGTTTTCAGCTATTATTTCTTCATATATTTTTTCTATGCTGTAAACTCTTGTTCTAAGACTTCAGTAACATAAATGTTAGACCTTTTAGTATTGCCGCATAGATTCATGAGGCTCTGTTTATTCATTTGTTTTCAATCTTTTCTTTCTGCTTATTTTTTAGGTTGGGTGATTTATATTGCTCTGTTTTCATCTTCACTGACTATCTTGTCCATTCTGTTATTGAACTCATCCAGCAATTTTTTAAATTTATATCTCAGTTTTAGAATGTCCATTTTCTAACAATTTGATAACTTAGTAGTTTGATATGTGTTCATCTCCTTTTTAGGTTGTGGGTCCACCAGGTACTGGAAAAACAGATGTTGCAGTCCAAATCATATCCAACATCTACCATAATTTCCCAGAGCAGAGGACTCTGATTGTTACTCATTCTAATCAGGTGAGTGTGTGCATGCGTGTGTGTGTGTGCGTGCATGTGTACTCACATATGTAGGATGGATGGTAGGGGAGATAAAGGAGTGAGGAGTGAATGAAAGCACAATGGAGATTTCTGTTTGTATGATAACCTGACCATAGGTACGACAGAATACTGAAAGGCTGATGAGTATAGTGTTTGCTGTTGAGTTACTCTTGGATTGTTACTGGTCATGACATATATATATAGAGAGAGAGAGATATATAAAAATATATAAACAATATATATAAAAATATAAAATATATAAATAATCTTTTATTTCTTTTTTATTTTTTTTATTCTTATGTTAATCCCCATACATGACATCATTAGTTTTAGATGAAGTGTTCCATGATTCATTGTTTGTGCATAACACCCAGTGCTCCAT